AGCTCGCGGCCCGACTTTTCCAGATTGAGGAAGGCTTGGTGCAGGTAGTTCTCTTCCTGGATCTGGCGCTCCAACTGGCGATCGGCCAGAAGGCGCAACAGGTACGGGTCCTGGCGGCCGGTCGTCACGGACGAGTCGAGCTCGGCCTGGCCCAGGTTGTCCTGGAGGTTCTTGACGGCCTTCTTGGTGGCGTCCATCTCTTTGTCGACGTTGTTGCGAAAGTCACCCGAGATGTTCTTGATCTCCTTGATCTTCTGGCTCAGGTCGGTGCGCAGGCCCGTGAGCGCGAGGATGACGTCCTCCTCCACGTCGCGCGCCTTGACGGCCTCGGCGACCGCCTGTTTGTGGAAGTTGCGCAGCGTCTGCGAGGCATCATCGAGGCCACCGGTCGTCATGAAACCGGGTGGGAGAATCGTGCCATTGAGCGTGGTAGCCAGTCTCTGCACGGACTTGGCGCGCTGTTCGTAGTGGTTCTGGATCTCGCGGTGGTAGGCGATGAGGTCCTTGAGAATCTTGCGCCAGGCTTGGAAGCGGCCGGCGAGCACCTCGGTCGGGTTGCCCTTGGTGGGGACGGGGCAGTAAAAGGCGCTGTTGGACTCGTCGCCGTCGCTGCGGCTCTGGAGGGCCAGGCTGCGCACGCTGCCAGCCTTCATGCTGCGACGGCTGCTGCTGCGGTGCAAGCTCGACGCGCGACGCAGAGACGACTTCTTCTTGAGCGTGTTGGACCGGGTGGGCAGCTGCGTGCTGGTGCCGCTGACGCCGCTACCGCCGCCGTCGCTAAACGCGCCGCCGTCTCCGTCCAAGATGGAGCTGCCGCGCTGGCTCGCATCCCAGTTCTCGTTGAAGCGGCCGTTAACGGCGGCCATGGTGCTGTGGTTGTGGTTGGCGTTGGCACCGCCAATGTCGCTGGCGCCGTCGATGGCGTTGCTGGCGCCGTAGAAATGCTGTTGCTGTTGTTGGGCGGGCGAGTCGCGGCCGCCGGTTGCGAGGGTCGAGGAGGGGTTGTGGTGGGTTTGCGATGCGAGCGTCGCCTGGGGAGCGACGGCCTGAGCGTTGGCCAAGGTGTTCTGGTAGGTCTGGTTGTCGTCGGGGGACAGCGCGTGTTGGGTGGAGGGCATAAAGTTCTGGCTGTCGGTGTAGGGCGAGCGGGCGGGCATGTGGGACGGCGCGGCGTACGAGTGTGGTTGCGCCTGTGCGGCTTGCAAATACGGCTGGTTAAAGTAGCCGCTGGCGTTCGGACCCGCGCCCAAGGAGTTTGCGGTTGCTGTCGACGGGCCAGGCGCACTGCCCACGATGGGACCCGCGCCTGCGCCAGAGCCACCTGGGTGGGCCATTGCTGTGGAGGAACGGTACGTGGCGAGCAATTGCGACGTAATTGCTCCTCAGGCAGCAAAGTAAAAATCGAGAAGCGACGGAAAGAAACGACAAAACGACAAAGCGAAACGGAAACGAAATGACGACCAAAACAAGAAACAATAAACAGCGCGCCAGTTCCCAAATATAGATTGCTTCAAACAAGCCTGGAGAACGGAGCTTTTGGGTGTGGTTCGTTTACCGGGAAAGCGAAACTGACTTCTGCCTGGGCCGCCCTGCGTTCGAGAGGAGTGTTTATTCGGTTTTGCAGGGGTCGTGCGGAGCGAGAGACGCCTCGAATTTTCCGCAATACTCGTCAGCTCGCAATGGCTGACTTTGCTGTGTCTTCGGGGACGAATCGATTAGTCGAGCAATGGCAATGTACAGCTTGAGAGGCGGTCAAAGGGTAACAGGCAAAGTGCAATTGGGATCAGGAAGAGAAACAATAGAAAATGGGCGAACAAAAGTCGCTCAGACGGGACGGATGCCAGCAGCGCGGGAAACAGCCGAGACACGAAAAGAGGAAGAACGAAAACACCGACCAGGGTGTGCGAAGGTGGATGACGGCAGAGACGGTCGACGGTCGACGGTCGACGGTGGGTGTAAATGAAAAATGAGAGAAAGGGACGGCGAGACGCTGCGTGAGATAGAACGTCGTGTTGTGGAGTGGAGGAGGGAAGACGAAGAAGGCAAAAAGGGGGAATCGTCGACAACGGATAGGGAGAATGGAATACAAGTACAAAAAGGACGGAATTGGCCTGCAAGGGGAGGAACGACGGAAGTTGAGAAGAAATCGGGAAAGAGCGTAGACCAGAACGATACGAAAACACCAGAGGGGCTATGATGTAAATTGAAGGCAAGAGCTCTTGGAGCAAGTTGTGTGGGTGGTGGCTTGTGTGTCGTATGTGAGTGGTGCAGAGGAGAGAGGGTACCTAGGTACATATCCCGAGTAGTGTGTGCGTCGTGTCTGCGTAGGCGCGGACAAGACAAGCTGACAAGTTCTCGGGCAAGAGCGATGGGCAGATGTGGGGTTCTTTAGGTCTACGAAGTAACTGCCCAACACTTGCTCGCAGAGAAGGCGCAAACCATCGAGAAAGCTGGAGATGGCAATGGTTGCTGGCGATCGCAGTTGCCTCTTTTGCTTGTGCAAGCTGTGCTGGGCGATCTTCGGATGGGGAAAGAACGTCAAGTAGACCAGCTCTACTTACCCACCAAAGCCAAGTGCAGCCCAGCAAGTGCCCAGCAAACCGAAGTCTGGCATGCCGACGAGCGCGTTGGGTTCTCCTGAGTCGTCTCAATCGATCGGCTGGGATGTTGTCCCTCGTCCGGGGAGCTCAGTGCATACGGCGGACGAATGTCTCGTCGGCGTACCTTTTATTCGTAGCTCCCATTTCCCCCCTTCTTGATAGTTGGTTCTGATTAAGCGGACTTGCGGGGAGTTCCTTCTGCGACGACTTTTGGGGGCATTAGGGCCCAGAGGCATAGGCCCGAAGTCTACTGACTGGGCTGGTGGGTGCCACTGAGGGGTCAGAGGCACGAGAGGGTCCAGCTCTGCATCCACTAAGACCTAATCCGGTCGCTACGAGAGAGGCGCATCACTGACGTCTTTTTGCTTTTCTTTTGGCTTTTGCACACTCCGAGAGCATCCGTGAGGTACTTACGACACGAGCCTGGGAGCTCGCTTTTGACGATCGCATGCAGGAACAGGTGAAGAGCACGAAAAACAACAAGAATCAAGTGACTTGGCGCTCTTCCTTGACCCGGATCCGCCATCATCCGGCGACTTGATGTTGTGGACGTTCGCAACACGGTTGCAGAGACGCTATTCGCGCGCGATGGCAGCAGTGCGGGTCGCCGGCCTGCCAAAGCCCACAATAAAAAGGACGGAAGACCAAGGAAACAGACGAGACAAACACGACGACAAACCAGGAAAAAACACACAGCCACTGTCAATGACGTTATTTTGCGACTTGTTTTCGGGTCTCGTCGCTTTCTCTCTTCTCACCACAGATGTCCCCAGAGAGAACAATGAACGCGGCCCAAGCTGAATTGGATTCTTCTTGCAAAGAGAAGAGACAGGAAAGCCAAGTTACCGTACGGATCCGATGCTCGCGATCAGGGTCATTTGGCCATAGAATGGTCCACAGCCGCATCTCTAGAAACGGGAAGCAAGGGGACGACGCCGGTGGAATACGACTGGCATCAGCTCTGGGCCGTTTTGGAGAGCTTGTGGCAACCGGCAGGACATCGATACAAGAGCCACGTAACGGCCGCTCTGCATGTGTCGATGCGATTCCTACCGATTCGAACAATGAGCATATTGTCTAGAACATCGCATCCTTGTGGCCCCGTCCTGTTTCGGGTGCGACCCGAGAAGCCTCTCTGTCCTTCCAAAGGCTATGACCTCATTTTCAATATGGAGAACGTGCAAAAACGGCGATCGTATCAGGCACAGCCCAACCAGCCCAGCTGAAGAACAAGTACGACCAGACGACGTAGCCAGTAGTAATTACACACTGGGCGCAGCGCTCCTATCCAACAGGCGTCGTGGCGTATAAAACGTAACCAGGAACTACGACGTATTGCAACGCGAGCTGGTTCCATGTTCCGTCTTGCTCGGCTCGGCCACTCCCTGCGAGGCCAGTGTTGCCAGTCAATCCAGCGAATGCTCATCCTTCTCGTCGGGCTGTTCTTGGCAGGCTGTCCTCGCCGAACTGCGTAATCATTGTTTGGCGGCTTTGACGGGTGGCGAAAATTGGAAAGGCCGCCACAGCCATAACCATATCCGGGTTTGGCATTGCCGTCATAATTTGCCTTGTATAAAAAGTAAAGAAAAGAAAAAGAAAAGAAAAAAATTGTCCTACGGCGGCGGGTGGCCTCGCAGCGTTCATTAAACCGAGACAGCAAAGAAGCACCAGCGTTGAAGACTGCCTGTTTTTACTGGCGATGTGACCGCGACTTCACAATATGCATTCCGTCAAGTGTAGCATCAATCGGTTTGGTCATCCAAGCAGTCAATTGTGCACTGCTGCAATTTGTGTGATTTTCTGTTGATTGTTTGAATGTTGATTGTTGTTTGATGAAGCCCTACTCCGCATGCCCGGATACAAATGCTGCCCAAACCAAAACACGAACACGTCAACACAATCAGACCAAACCAGGCTGTGTCTCTCCCGTCCAGTCTAACACCAGTCACGCCAAAGCAAAACAAAAGAAAAGGTTCCTCGCCTCAAAGGACACACAAGAAATGGCAAGTAAAACAGCTTTGCCTCTTCATTTTCTCCTTAAACGCCGTCACAACAAAATAATCGGGCAAGGGATAATCCGTCGTACAAAATGCTCCGCTCAAAATACAAAAGAAGGGGCCAATAGAAACCAACAGTACCGACAAAAAGGGACAGCACACAAGCGGTAGCACGCTATAAACCCCCCACAGAAAGGATATTCCCATCCCATTCAACCGTGTCCACAACCGGTGGGTTGGACAATGCAATCATAATGTCATAGGGCAGCCCGTGCCAAAGCACAAAAATGGTTGCGCTGAACAAAGAAAATGATACTAAGCTATAAAAATGAGGTAAAGGAAAGACGAAACGAAGGAGCGCAAGGCAACGTTGCCCTGTTCGCTACCAGACAGCCGAGTAGCACTAGAGATCAATAGCCATGCTGGTCGAGAACGGCGAGCTCGTGTCGACATTGCTGTCCGCGGCCGCTTTGGCCGTCTTGGCTGCCTTCGCTTTCGTCGTCTTGGTGCCGTCTTGTTCGGCCTTTTCACGATCGCGCTGCTCCTTCTCGACCTTGGTCATGCGAGGACGGCGGTATGTGGTGCCGCCGCGCGAGCCTGGTCCGCCGCCACGCCCCGTCGTAGACCGGCCAGCCGCAGAACGACCAACGGCAGACCGGGCACCGCCGCGTCCTCCGCGGCTGCCGCGGCCGCGCTTTGCGGGTGTTGTGGCTCTGTGCAACGTTAGTATCCTTTGTATAGGAAAGAGACTGTAAAAAAAAATAAAGAAAAAAACACATACCCTTCCTCAGGCTTCTCTTCCTCGGGAACAAGAGGGCCGGAGTACACGAAAAAGCCATCACGACTGGCGGCTGCCTGCTCTTCCCACAGCATCTCGGAGTCGTCAACAAAGTCGTCGTCGCGGTCGTATTCATCCTCCTTGAAGGTGCGCTTCTTGCGAGCAGGCTTCGCAGGCGCATCTTCGATGCCACTGGCATTAGCCGTGGCGTTGCCATTGTCAGCGCCGGCACCGTTTTCCTCGTTGCTGCCTTCGTCGCCCGACTGCATGTCGTCCGTCATCTCGTCGCCTGATTCGCGGCCGGAACCGTTTCTCTCGAGGGCGGCTGAAGCGGCGGCAATCCGCAGCTTGCGATCCCGGTGGGCAGCTAGGCGCGGGTGCAGGGCATCCCAGCCGAATTGATTTTCGGCCAGGCGCATAAAGTTGATGTACGTGTTGCTCTCGCCCTGGACCAGCGGGATGTGCAGCACAATTGACGGAACAGCGTTTTCTTCGCCAGGCATCGCCTTTCCAAAGTCGAGAATCGACCGCTCCGGCTCGCTGCCGGCAAGCAGAGGCGAGGCGTCCGGAACAGCGAGAGCACCTACAGCGTCACCCTTTGCAGCGGCGAGCTTGGGAGACGAGGCGGCACTCTTCTTTCCGCCTCGCTCTTGCTGGAGGATGGAAGCAAACTTCTTGATATGCGGGGCACTGTTGGCAGGCGCCGCGGTCTCCGTGCCGGACATCACAACATCCTCTGAGTTCGCCACCGTCTTAGGGTCCGATGCCTTAGATATGGTTGACGTTTCCGGTGAGCTTGGTGCGGAAGCCTCTGTGGCAGCAGACGACTTGGTGCTGGCTTTGCCGGCAGCCTTAGCAGCACTCTTTGCTGTGGTCTTGGCTGTCTTAATGGCGGCCTTGGCAGCTGCTGCAGCCTTCTTCTCGGCCGCCTTTTCGGCCGCCTTTTCAGCCTTTTCAGCGGCTTTCTCGGCCTTTTCGGCGGCCTTCTCGGCGGCCTTCTCAGCGGCCTTTGTCGTCATAGGCTTCCCAGACGCCGTCTTGACCGCTGTAGGAACAGGAGGCGGCGGAGGTGGCTTGCTGGACTTGCTCGGTCCTTGTGCGTCCTTCTTTGTGGCCGATTTAGCATCCGCAGAAAGTGCTGCATCCGAAGGCGGTCTCGAAGCATCTGCCAACGATGATATCGTCGCCATAGGAGGTGCTGCCTCTGACGATGCAGATTTGGACATTGGTGCGGCCTGAGGAGAAGGCTTTGAAGAAGATGAAGGTGTTGGCACGGCGAACGTGCGCATCGGAGGTGCCGGGGATGGTGAAGGAGGAAGAGAGGGGACGTTTTCCCTGTACCGGGAAACTGGTGGGTTATTCGAGGAGGTCGTAGCAGCAGCCACCGACAAGGAAGGCGGCGAGTGTTGGCTGGCTAAAGCAAACTGTCCAACGGGTGAGCGATGTGTCAAGGGTGCCGGGTCGACGAGACTGGCAATTGATGGCGATGCGCTAGCACGGTTTGTCGTGACATGTGACGGGGCACGCGGTGAGCCCAGTGGCCCAGTGCCGTAGGGATCGCGCGACATCATTGTCTCACGAACTGGATCGTACGTCGAAGATCGCACAGGGTCATAGTTTTGTCCGATAGATCGGACAGGCGTTGTAGATGTAGCCGCTGGCTGGGATGGGCGCGGTGGCGAGTCGTCGGCATTTAAAATGCTCATCATTGAGCTCGGAGGATGCTCCCGCTTCGGCATTTTGTCGATCATAGTCAATGGCGGCTGGCGCGGTTGCTGGTGCAGAATAGCAGACGGGCCAAGAGAGCGTGGTGCCGGGCGAGAGTCAATGTCCATGCGCATGGACGTCAGCTCGTGCTTAGGCTCGAAGTGCATGTTGGCTGACGAAGACCGCGAAAGGCCCGTCGAGCCGACAGTTTCGTTAGCATCGGAGCCAGTTGCGCGCTTCTTGCGAGCCATAGGTGGTGCGCTCGGGTCCCGAGGTTTGCGAGGCCGCTTTAGCTTGTCGACACCGGATCCAGAAGCAGTCGCTGTTGCCATTGCGGGATTTGTTCCGTCTGCTGCCTTTTTTGCGACGGTGGTGCCTGGCTTCCGGCCGGGCTTTTTCCGAGGCACGCCATCTTTGGTGAGGCGAACGCCTTCTAATGAAAAGTCTTGAGCCTGGCCGCCAGGCTGCTGTGGGCTTTGTTGAGGAACCATTTTGAAGCTGGCTGCAATGGGGGCGTTGAAGGAGGTGCGTCGTTGATCCGGTCTTGGTGGCGAGCCGGGCTCGGACGGGGAGCCGGAGGGCAAGGAGGATAAGTCGGGCGAAGAGCTATATTGGGCTGTGGACATAGTCAAATCGCGGATGGGGGTGGCCATAACCGTGCAGCATCCGCCGCCTCACAGAGAGCACTGTGCGCAATCGGAGACGCGACGCGAACAGCTACTTTGGAGCTGTATGCGGCTGCCTCGGGGTTACTGGGCGTCGCCAACGTTTGTGGGCAGAAACCAGGAGCGTTGGTGTCTTCGTGGCCAAAATACAAGCATCAACGAGAAAATGCTGCAAATTGGCGGTCGGCAGCGGCCTGCTTGCTCCGCTGGGGCGCGACGACGAGACAAGTGCGCAGATGGCGTTTTGCGTTTGGCGTTGGTCGAGATTTGGCGATTTGGCGATCTTAGTTGTGGACCAATCAGAATTGAGTATTGCGCTAGACAGGTTCGCGATTTGGCTTCGTTTCAATCGCTATCTGCCAGCTTTCTCGACCCTTTCGTTGTCCAAAAAACAGTTGAAAAACGCTGTTCTTTTAACGATTGCAAAAAGGAAGGGCCAAAAACACAAAAGAGTCGGACAATAAGAATAAAAGAAGACGCGTGATAATATCGCACAGTCAATGAATAGGGTATGTAGTGATAGTCGTAATTGAAATTGGCGACGAAAAAAAAAATCGAGTGCAAAACCGGTGGTGGTTGCGGGTAGACGCTGGTGTGTCTATTTCGGGAAATGTGGTGGTGCAAATCGACTTGCGAATAGCTTCAAAAGAGCGGGCAAATGTCGGTTTGTTGGTGTGGTGTGGGAAAATGGCCAAAATCAGCTTTAACGTTGTAGCGTGGCGGGTGGAAATGGCGTGGAGCAGGTGATGGAATCCGACGTAGACGAATTGCGGCAACCGAATGGTGATGTTTTGGTGATGGTTGCGATACAAAAAAGGGTGCGAATCGATGAGAAAAAGAAGCCAAAAGAAGAGCGAAAGAAGGCAAAAATCGATCTTTTGGGCGGACTTTGGGTGGTGTCGATGGAAAGGAAAGTTGGTGATAGTTGTGTGGAAGAGAGAGAGAAAGAGAGAGTAGGAGCGAAGGAAAAGAAATGTGGTGAGAGGGGGCCGAAAAAGTCAAGAGGCAAGGGGACAAGGGAAATTAAAAGAGAAAGCGCGAATGCGAAAGGGGGCACGAGTCGGGAATGGCAAGGAAGGGACGTGGGGATGAGCTTCGTTTTGTGAGAAACGAAGGCATGAGTGTCGAGAAGAAAGGGAAGGAAGGAGCGGAGCACGGAATCCAAAAAGAGAGACAAGGAGAGCCACAAGACGGACGAGAAAAGAGGGCACGACAGAGTAGAAAAAGAGGCAGAGGCAAAGGCAATGAAAGGAGAGGCGGGAATGGCGGTACAGCTAAGAAGATGGGCGGAGGCAAAGAGGAAGAGAAAGACAAACAAGCAGCGGAAGGAGCGAAAGATGAAAAGGCAAGAGCATCAGAAACGGGGATGGAAAGAACGAGGGACAAGAAAATCGGGGCACATCCCAGACTGCATCGACCAACAGGTGACGAAAAAGACGAGCAAAGGGAAGCAAGGCCATCATGCGAACAAACGGACGACCAGGGCCAGGCGAGAGGGAAACACGCATGCCGCATCCGCGGTCTAGACATTGAGACGGGGTGACGGGGGGGTACCAGTGATCAGAAGTGATCAGAAGCACATCGTCTCACGGGGCATGCGTCAGTTCACTCTACGGGACAAGACATGCATATTGTCAGGCAGCGGGCAGTTTCCCAAAGGCACGTTTTTAGATTTCCGCATACGCAGGGGCGCTGCAGAGGCAAGACCATCAGCATCAAAAAGTAACGAGCCTGGGCACAAAGGAAAAACGACAGTCGTGCACGAACAGGGGTGGAGAAACATGGAGGTCGTAAAAGGATCCATAGCAAAGCACAATAAAGCTCTGTTTCGTCCGGCAGTATGGTGATGAAAGTGCGTTGGTGGGTGGGTGCAGTTCAGCTATGGGATCGTTCGTTGTTGGTAACGTGTAATGTATGTTGTATCTTGTAGTTATCGTCGACGGAGTATATTTTGTGTGTCAGTCCTTAAAGCCTCCGAGCCCACTCGAAAGAACGATGCGACAGGGGCGTGTCATTCGACAGGGGGGGTGCGCAATACCTAAGGTTGATGCCAGGCCGACACTAAAATGGGAACAAAAAACGACAACCGAGCAGGCAAGGCAGGAGTACCTCTAGGCGGGAAATACGGAGGAATCTACGCGGAACGGGGCAGGCACGACGTGTTCTGCAGAAATAAGGATGGTGCAGTGGGCAAAAGCAGGTGCTCTGGGGGAATGTGAGGGGTGTGGCAGCAGGGCATTGTTACGAAGTAGGTATTAATATGATACGTCGTATATTTCTGTTTTCGTCAATTTTCCTATTTATTTTGTCTTTATCTTTATTCCACGGCCGGTTCCAGGAGACCAGCCGACGTGGGGAAGGCGCGAAAGAAACGTCGTGTCCAGCCCAGGCAATGGTGGTTGTCACCGAGGTACTTGCGCTACCGCGACGCAGTGGCAGAGGTACATTGCGCGGCGAGTACCAAAACTTATCCCTTACCCGCCGTGTGGGCCCGTGCCAACCGCGTCTGTGCAAGCGTGCGGCAGGTTTGGACAGGGGTGCGTCTGGATTGGCTTCTCCAATTGTTCTTTCCTTCCGCGCCAAATTGCGGTACGTTTGATGCGAGGCAAGCAGGAAGCCACGATCAAGCCAATATTTGTCGTCGCTGCTTCTGTACCTTCCAATCCGGACCTTATTTGGGGCAGCGATTTCCTTTTCGGTTCGGATGGCCGATTACGAGCGATCTACCCCGTAGACAACGATCGTTCTCTATGTTCCACGTGACCCTGCTTCAAGGTGGCATCTGTTGAGAGTGTTCCGAAAAAAGGGCGCATCCATCACGGTACCAAAGGCAAAAGGACATGCCCTAGCGAGCCAGTGTGCGACCGTCAAGAGACTGATACAGAACTTGAAAGCTGAAAACACATAGTTACGGAGCAGGCAAAATGGGACACAGGGAGCAGCCCCTTGTCAAAACGAAACACAGAACGTCACGGCACTCTGTGATTGGCTGCTCGGCTCTCCCAAGTTGGGACGATTGGAGAATCTCTGGCCAAGGCTGCTGATATGGATCGGCGCTAATGCACAAGCTGACGCAGTTGAGTCACGTGTTTCTAATTTGAGCCACAACCTTAAATGGGTGGCGGTGCAAATTTTGGCGTCAAGGACCCCACTTTATGACGGCAGCCTTCTCTTCTGTGACTTTCTGAAGGCCATCGCAGGGGCTGACGAAGAACGCACTCTGCACATACTGCGACGACAACTCTGCGCCCGTATCGCAGCACATATTTACCATGGACGGCTCGTTGCGCGTTCTCGACATTCAGGAAAAGGAGGTCGGCGCTGCTAAGCCCCCGTCGTTCCCTACACCCCGATCAACGGGCTTCCCAGAGCCGAAGAAACGGGCGCGCTTTGCCTCTGCGTTCAAGCAGCAGCGGCAGGCCGCCGAGGCTGCTGTCGCAGCCGGGATTTCTGCAGATCCTCCAAAGGCCACATTTGGTCCGGCTCCTCCCTCGTTTTCCGCCTCTCCCTGGTCCTCTTCCCGTCCTCCTGCTCCGACACAGTCCAAAGATGTTAAAGATGTTGGCACCTTTGACGAAAAGGCCGGCATCGACCGCGAGAACCGTGAGATGCTGGCCAGTATGGCGCCCGACGAGATTGCCGAAGCTCGGAATGAGCTGCTGTCGAACCTCGATCCGGGGTTGCTGCAGATATTGCTGCGGCGAGCCAACCTCGACGACGGCAGCAATGCCGGCTTGCCAGGCGAAGTACCGTCTCAACCAGAGCAGGCAGCAGCACCACCACCACCAGAGATCCGCATAGAAGAGAGCAGTGCGTCCACGGCCGAAGAACCCAAGCAGTCTACCAACCCCAAGAAGAAGGTGCTATTTGCCTCGGTCGAGGATGCCGAGGAAAAGGATGACACGCCCGCTGCCCGCAAGACAGGCGACGAGGCGCTCTTCACAAACGACGAGAATGTGCCAGCGGCCAGTGACCTAGCACCGATTTCGTCGGCTGAAAAGGCCCATGACCACGACCACGACCACGATCACAGTGGCCCCGGCGCCATCCACTTCCCTCACGCGCCGGCCATGCCGGACCTCGACCCCAACGACCCAGACTTCCTCGAGACCCTCCACGCCAAGTATTTTCCGAACCTCCCTGCCGACCCCGCCCGTCTCGCCTGGATGGCGCCCCTCCCCACCGCCGACAGCCCTGCCGACCGCGAGTCGCCCTACTACCCAGGCCAAGAGTCTGTCGCCGTGTCGCAGCTGCGCTTTGATTTCCGCGGCCGCCTGATCCCGCCCAAACTGTCGCGCAAGATCCCCGTGTCCAAGGGCCTGCACCATCACGGCGTGGCCCCCGAAGCGGCCGGCTACACGATTGGCGAGCTGGCACGGCTGGCGCGGAGTGCGGTGCCGTCGCAGCGGTGCGTGGCGTTCCAGCTGCTGGGGCGGCTGCTGTACCGGCTGGGCAAGGGGGAGTTTGGCGGGGGCGGCGGAGAGAGCGGCCAAGAGGGCACAGGCTCGGCGGTGGACGAGATGACGAGCGATCCGCGGGTGCAGCTGGCGCAGGGCATCTGGCGGAGCTTGTCCGAGGGCCGGGTGTTGGAGACGCTGCGGGAAGCCGCAAGCGTGGAGGAAGGGCAGGGCCACCGAGGCAGCCGGGCGTATGCGATCGAAGCGATCTGGCTGTACGAAAAGGGTGGCTGGAAGGAGCGGTGGCAAGGTCGGTAGAGTGGGATGTGACCTTGTAAAATGTATAATGACCACACATATGATCGATAGATGCAATGAATTAAAACAATCATATATATACTACACACATATTCTGGGGTTGGTGCTTAATGACAAGACAGATTACGCTGTAAGGCTTTATCCTTTCATATGGATGGTTTTATTCTTTCATTGCCATGCTACGATAGAAATTAAGCAAAAATATAGGATTGTTGAGAGTTGTACGGCAAAACAAATGGAAAGCTGGGGATCAAAAAGGGAAACAGAAAACACCGTGCTTTTCAATAAGAGAAAAGGAAATAGAGGAAAACAAGAAAAGGAAATGCACGACAATATACGCCATCCTTTCTGCTCTAGAACAGCCCCAGCAAATCGCCATTGCCGCCGCCTCCACTCGACTGCTGCTGCTGCTGCTGAAGCTGCGCACCGGGCGGTGGAGGTGCCGTGGCACGGCCAGCACCATTCAGGTCCAGACTGCCGAAGCCGCCCAGGATGTCGTTCATGCCAGGCGGCGGCGCCGGCGAAGAGGCGCTGGCGGACGGTGCATCAAAGAGGCCCATCATGTCGGCGATGCCACCGGGGCCGGCGGACGGCGGTGGCGGCGAGGCCGACGGCGATGCAACAGAAGGGCTGCCGGTGCGGTCGGGCGTGCTGGCGCCGCCAGCCTCGGCGGACGCCGGCGCGGCGCCGTCAAAGTCAATGTCCAGCAGGTTCTCGACGTTGCTCTGGGGCGGTGCGTGGCCACCGTTGGCGGCGGCGGCGGCAGCAGCGACGGAGGCGGCAATGGGGTTCTCGGCGGCGTCCTGGCGCTGCTCCTGGATGGCGGCACGCTGGATCTCGTCGGCACCGAAGCGGCCCTTGCCAACAAACGACTCGGGCGGCTTGTGGTAGACCGACGCCAGCGTGGACAGCTCGGCGAGCAGCGATTCCAGCAGGGCCGGGGGCAGGGACGTCATGGTGGTGGAGATGGCGGGCTTCTGCGACAGGACAATGGACTTGGCGACGTCCAGGTCGCCCGACAGCAGGCGCCAGTAGACGTAGGCGCGGTCGCGAATGTCCGGGTTGTCGTTCTCGGCGGTGGCCATCTGCAGGACGCGCTGGACGAGCGACTGGTTGGCGCTGGGCTTCTTGAGGAACAGCTTGACGACGGCGGTCAGGATCTGCAGCTGGGTCTGGGTGAACTCCTCCATGAAGCCGTCCACAAAACCGGTGAGGATGTCGTCGGCGTTGCTAATCTTCTCGGCGTACTCGCCGACAATCCATATTAAGGAGCCGCGGGCGTTGGGCTCGTCGAGCTCGTCAATGTGCTCGACAATGGAGCGGATGACGCCCTCGTAGCCCGGGTACTTGCGCAGAATGTCCTTGATGACAATGACAACCTCCTGGACGACGTAGTTGACGTTGGTGGCCATGAGATCAACGAGAGCGGTGACGCACTTTTCGCTGGCGTTCTCAATCTTGATGGCGACCTGGCCAATGGCCTTGATGGCGCGGCGCACAAAGTCCATGTCGACCTCGAGCGCGTACTCCTTGAGCTCGGCCAGCAGCTGCTCAAAGTTCTTGTCGTTGGCGATGCGCACCATGATCTCGAGCTTCTGCAGCTTGACGTACGGCGGGTCGTTGTACTTGCAGAAGAAGACGCGCATCTCCTTGCTCAGGATGTCGGGCTTGGCCTGCAGCAGCAGGTCAATGTTGCGCAGGGCGACGTACTGCACCTCGGGGGCGCTGGCGACCAGCGTGACGAGGGGCGGCGCCATCTTCTTGAGGTACTGGCGCACGAGCTCCGCGTTGATGGTCTTCATGTGGATGAAGACGACCTTGACGGCCGCCAGCACGACGCTCGGGTTGACGTGCTGGAACTGCGGCGCGACGCGCTCGCAGATGTGCTCCGACTCCTTGACATCCTTGGGCGGGTAGTTGGCCAGGGTGCTGAGGATGGTGACGCGGCCCCACTCGGTGCACTCGTTGAGGGCCATGAGCAGCTTCTTGAGGGTGGTCGGGGTGACGACGAGGGCGTGGGTCTCGGGGGCGGTTTCGGTGATTTCGGACAGGGCCTGGACCGAGTTGGCGACGACCATGGGGTTGGGGTCGCCGATGAGCTCCTGCAGGATCTCGAGGAAGCCGTTGTCGATGCACATGGACGGGTTGAGGTCGAAGAGCTTGGCGACGCAGATGGCGGCGGTCTTGCGCACGTAGGGCGACTCGTCACGCAGGGTCTTGCGCAGAGGCTCCTCCATGTAGTCGACCATTTTGTCGACGCGGATGCAGCCCATGGTGCGGATGGCGAGCGCGCGAATCAGCGGGTTGGGGTCTTCGGAGTCCTGCACAAAGGTGTTGACGGCGAGAATGCACAGGTCGGGATGTGATTTTGCGTAGTTCCTACGAGGTTAGAACGGGGAGGCGGCAAGAGGGAGCAGGGCGCGACGTACATCAGGTACAGGTACACCAGCTTCTTCTGGTCCAAGTCGCTCGTTGCAATGTTCTTGAGCACATCGGGGAACAGCGCCGACACGTCCTTGCCGAGCGTCATGGCCATGATGGTCTTCTGGATGGCCTCCTTGCGCTCAAAGGCGTACTGCGAGACCAGGCCAGCGCGCAGCTCAAACGTCTCGCCCTTGCGGGGGACGGCAAACGCCCCGCGTATACGGTTGACGGCCTGCATTGTGTGGTGGGAAATGTGCGGAGTCGGGAAGCGGAGTCGGGAAAAGGAGAGGAGAACAAGACGGGAGGCTCGTCGGTAGATTCGACGGCCGGTGGCGGAGAGACTGAAATCAACGAGCAACGAGGTGGGCGGTCGAGGAGGACGGCGAAAAGGGGGTGAGGTGAGACGTCGACCGCCGCGGGTACGTGTCAACGTGCGCTCCCACAATCAATGTCGTCGAGGTGTGGGACGAGTGTCGTGGTGGCCGTGGAAGAATGATGCTGCCTGCGAGACAGGGGTGGGTTGTGGATGTGGTGGTGGTGATTTGGGTAAGACAGGACACGGTGAGGTTCCAGAGGTTGACCAGACTGGTGGGCGGCAAGAAGGAGCGTTTGGTGTCCCGCTGGCGGGCTGGGTCTACGCTGATTGGGCTCTGTTGGGGGCCTTACCATCGATTCGCCCCTCACTGTCGTACACCAAATGGTCCCCTCGGTCCCCTGAGCGAAGCCCCCTGGAGCTCCCCAAGTTTCTTCGGCGGGGTGCATTGCACGTGACTGGCTTCGATGAGCTTTTGCCCCTTCACCGTTCTTCGACTCAACATCATACAAATTACAACGCACCGCTCCCAGGAGACAATTGGCGCTCAGCAACATTCTCACGCAATGGTAAGGTGTCACCTCTGCTTGGCTTCATACGGAGCACAGAAGGCTAATCCGCGCAGGCCAGCTTCCCCAACCTGCGGCGTCTCTTCATCGAGGCTCGCAACGACGACGAAGAGCGCGAAGTCTCCCGCAGAGCAGTACGTGGACATGGGCAGCGGTGGCTGTGCGCGTGTACGCAGAAAGACGACTGACGCTCGTAGTTTTACAATGCGGTCCTTTTCATGGGCTCGGTGGCCGTCTTCAGCTTGTTCGCGCAACGGATGAACGCTGCCAAATGAGGGTCGAAGGCATGCCCAGGCACTCCAAGGCACTCTTTGCTTTTCCTGTGGCGATGACGTGATGAGTGAACAGTTGGTTGTATTACTTGCTGGATCTTGGGGCCAGAAGGCCTGCCGCAACTCGATAACGCCGCAAAATCAAAATGAGCACGGCCACGAAACAGCCGATGGAAAACGAAGATGCAAGATGTACATAACGCCACATACCATGCCCGCCATCATCCGTCACTGGTCATTTTTGTCGCTTTTTGAACGAGACATCCTCCGCCTTTGACACAGAGCCTCAATGAGCCTGGCCATCACCTTCACTCCGAGTCGGTCTCGCTTTCGGATCCTAGGAACGCCAGGTCGCCGAACCGACTCCTCCTGGCCGTCGTCTTGGGGGCATCGTCGTCGTCGTCGTCGTCGTCGTCGTCGTCGTCGTCACCGTCATCTCTGCCGTCATCCTTGTCGCCGCTCTTCTTAGAAGCGCTGCCCTTGTTGTCGGCCTTTGTCTCAGCATCGTCATCATCGTCACCCTGCTCGTCACCGCCGCCCCCGGCCTCATCGTCCTCGTCTTCGGAGCTCGTCTCCTTGAGCGACTTCCTAGGCGCCCGGCTGCGCGAGGGCCGTCCGCTGCTCGAGTGCAGACCCCAGCTGCGGTCCATCTCCTGCACGGCCTCCAGGTCTGCCTCGAGCTCGCGCCGCTCCTTGATCTCGCGTGCACGCGACTCGGAGAACCGGCCGTCCATGCCAATGTCGCGCAGCATGCCCTTAAGGTGGCGGATCTTGGCTTTGGTGTCGTCGCCGTACTTGCGCAGCTCAAACGCCCAGATCTTGCGCAGGCCGCACTTGACGAGCTGGCCCTGGAGCTTCTTGACCTCGGCGTCGTCGGGGGAGACGCCTGCCGCCGCCGCCGCCGCGGTCGCTCCCTTCTTGCGCTTTGCCGGGGGGTCGTCGAGCACCGAAGACAGCGAGCTGTCGGAACCGTTGTCGCCGTCGTCATCGGCCTTTCGCTTCTTTGGTTTCGGTGCCGCCTTCGACTTCGATTTGCCCTCGCCCTTCTTTGCTCTCTGCCTTGGCGGGGTGTCATCAATCACATCCGACATTTCGCTCTCGTTGTCGTCGTCGTCGCCATCGTCCTTGCCATCGGCACCGCCACTCGCGTCCCTGTCGACGTCTTCGCTCTCTTCGCTCACGAGCTCGCTCAGCGGAGACGATGCACCCGACTCGGCCAGTGCTGCAACCGCCTTACTCTTAGGCTTAGGTTTGGGCTTCGGCTTAGGGTTAGGCTTGGCCGACTTTTTGTTTTTGCTGCCGCCGACTTTGGCTTTCTTGCGCCGGCTGGCGCTCTCCCCTTCAAACTCGTCGTCCTCGTCCTCGTCCACGCTGGCGCTGTCGCTGTCGCCACCGTCGTCGTCTGATGACTGTGCATCGCTAAAGTCGTCGCTCGCGTCGTCCCCGTCAAAGTCGCCTTCATCCTCGTCCTCGTCCTCGTCGTCGCTCACAACCTTCCTCTTCTTGCTGGCGGCCTTTTTGGGTGGGGGCCTCTTCTTGCTGGCGGCCTTTTTGGGTGGGGGCCGCTTTGCTTCTTTCTTGACGGGTTGGGCTTTGGGTTTCCGTTCGGGTTCGGCAGCGGGCTTCTCCTCGGCAGCAGATGCCGGGCCTACAGTATCATCCTCGGCGTCGAGCAGCTTGTTCTGTACATTGTATATACACGTTAGCAATCCAGCGACCATTCTTTGGAACTTGTCATGTGCCATTCCCACAAAACCACAAAACCACAAAACGAGGTGGACACTACGCACTGCTGCTGTCTGGATTATGTCCTTGCTCTTGGCCTTCCACTCGTCCGACTTGAAAAAGCCGTCGGCGAGGCCCAGCTCCGCCTCGACCTGCTTCCGCACAAAATTGACCGTCAGGTTGCTGCGGTCGCTGCGGAAGACGGTGTCGGCGGCAGCCACCAGCGCCTTTTCGAGCTCGTCGGTGGATGCCATGATGAGGTGTGGGTGGCGAAGCGGTTGAGAATTGGCCGTAGTCAGCTGACAACCAAAGGTCGTGTAAGCCGATTCAAGATTCAATGCGTCCAGAACACGTAACAACTTCACCATGCGTCGGGGAGAATAACTTCGTCACAAAAATACAACTTCAAAATGCAGCGTCGCAAACCACAAACCACCCTACAAGGTGGAGACGAGAAAAGGCGGAGAAGGGGGGGGGACAATTGGAATTGGGACCGAAAAGTCGCGTCGGCGCGCGACAAAGGAAGGCGCGCCCTGGCAAAACAGACCTGGGGATGAAATGGGAAAGAGCGGGGCCATCGTCAGACATTCGAGGAAAGTGGCATTGACGAAGCCGGACACGTGACTTTACTCGAAGTCAAATTTCAAAAAACAAACTTTCAAAGAACAGCAGCTTCACAGCAGCTTCACAGCAGCTTCGACAGCTTGTCATACCATGGATCTTCCATTTTAGGATGCATGTGATGAAGCTGATTGTCGGTCACTTGGCCGTGTCTCAACAGCTCGGGCCATTAGGTCGGCAGGGTCTGTGGCTATAAACATATGCAGTAGAGTCGCAGTCCCGGGATCTCGCATCAATATAGAACCTAGAAACCGTGTAAGTGCGTTGCAGCAGTGCCAGAGTCTACAGGGAACTTTCCGAGTATGTTGTTTGCGTGTTGGCTTTGTCTCCGCCTGTTAGTTTGCAAGTGTTCGTGGTATGTCGTTATTGAAGAACGTAGCAGTTGTTGACTTGAATTATTCAACAACACAAAAAATAACAAAAAATAACAAATAATCATAAATACAAACATAAAACATAGAAACATAAAACTAAAATTAACAAGATTATCTCCTTGCCTCACATGTCCTCTCTCCGCAGCATATCAAAGTGCCCAATCACTCGGGTGCAGTTTCGTTATCACAGAATTCGCTAGTTAGCAATGAATGGTCGTCTGATGCAACGAGTCAACGGGAAGATGCGTGCAACGACAGCCAACCATACTCCAGGGACTCCAGTCCGCCTATTAGCTCCCTCCCTGTTTCTTCTTCTGTTATTTACTGTGCTCTCTGGTATCTTGGCGCGTTTGCAACGGTTCACTGTATGCTTCAGTGCCACTCCGGTGACTCACTAATAAAACCAGTCAGACAGAGAAGAGGCCAAGCACCAAGGCATTCTCTGTACGGAGTACGACAAAACATGCCATAGTCCGTCTTGTATCATACAAAGCTTGCGGAGTGCCCTTGAGGTTCTCAAGGCTTAGACGACAGATGGGGCGAGGCGGTGTTTGTACAAAGTGGGAGGGGGCGGTGTTAACTGCAGGGCCAGTGGGGAGAGTAGTCTTTAGCGGCCAATGACAATGGCCTGTGCCATTTTACGCTGAAAACGGAAGACACGCAAGGCTACAAAGGGATGCACACAAATACAACTACACAAAGACCTAACAAAAACGATGCGACTTCTTTGAGGGAACGAGTTCATTTCGTCGCTGTCAATCTTCACAATGCATCTCTTCTATGGTTCACGGCGTATGGAGCACTTCATCTCTCATTCGCTACTCATAAACCCCAGTGACTCAACAGGGGAATCCGTAGTGACCAAGCATGGTAGGCCTCCACGACGATCACGATACCAAGCACGCATTGGCCTTGGTCACCGATCTGATCCAGCCATGAGCGTGACACAAAAGGAAGAGGGCTCTTTTGAACTGCATGCTCTCTCCTTCTATTGGCAGACCTAGTGGAGCGAGGCAGAAAGGTTGATCGCAAGCCATACAGAGCAGGATTGGACAGGAAAGGAGCGACTGGAAGTTGTGTTATGCATCGAGGACGGAGATGGAGGAAGTGACGTGGGATGAATGAACTGGAGCGTGGCTGCCCAGCCAAACTCCTTTTGAAATAAATAAATAAATTCAACAGGCCCCTACTATCATCAACTTGTATTTACGTCTCGCTTGTTTATTTATGGTATACCAGCTCGAGCGTTGTCTTTGTCTGATCCCTTTGTCCTGTTGTCTTTGCGAGCCGCCTGGTCGAAAACAGCTTTTTGATAACCCCCCTTGCTTTATTTTGGTTCCCTGGAGAGCCGTTCGAGGCGTTCATTATTTTCTTTGGTTGGTATTTTGATATTCGGCCCAGTTGAGCTTTTGTTTGATCGTTCATCAGCTTATATACTCTCCGCCCAGTTCTTCCCGTCATCTTGCGATTCCACACCCGCTGGCACTGTTTACACACTCAGCTATCATGCCTCTCAGACGCCAAGCAATCACTCTTCGGCGCGAGCCAACGCCCCCCAAGGGCTTCTTCCGACTGCCGTGGGAGTTGCAGCAGCACATTTACGAGCTCAGCCTGATCGAGCTACCACGGTGGGAGAAGATTCACAAGGCCGACTGCAGCCTGATTGCCTCAGATGTACGTCCACGCAAACGTGCTGTCCACCCGCATCTGTTCCACATGAATGGCTAACCGTAGAAGTCGTATTCGTGCGAGCGGCCACCCTTTGTCGACAAGGACCTAATTTACTCGCCACTCGACAACTGCCACTGTGCAAAGCGCCACAGTCTCAATGTCCTTCTCGCCAACCGGCAAGTCTACCGCGAGGCGGCACCTGTCCTGTGGTCGCGCAACGTGTTTTGTTTCCACCGGGGCGACCATTTCGTCAACGACGTGGGCAAGAATCTGCGGCCAGCGCACCGCCTGATGCTGCGGCATGTGTCGATCTTGATGTACACAAACGACTCGCTGCCCAACGAGAACGAGACGAGCTTCACGCAGACATACACCAGCAATATGTGGGATACCATCCTGCAGTGCAACAGCCTGCGCACGCTCGAGGTCAGCCACGTCCTGTGCGGTAATCGGCAGGCGGACCACTTCAACTGTCTGCGAAAACAGCTGCCCCAGCTCGAATCGTTCCGTCTGACCACACTCATGGCCTACCGGGTGTGGCCACGGCGCGACCAGAGCGAGCCTCTCGGCCGCCGGCCGTCGCCAAGGGAGGCGGCGACCGGCGACAACAACGGTAACAACAACTCGACACCTGCCGCTGATCAGACCTTTATCCCTTTCCACGACGTCACACCCGCACCGCCACCGCCACCGCCTGCCGAGCACTACTTGGTGCTGAACCCAAACCTGGCCGGCTACGACTACAGCTACATTCGTGACGTGTCGCGGACGTTGTGGTTCAAGGCGGGTCTGGAGGTCGACGTCGACACCCTCTGTGGCGCCCTCGCCACAGGGCCCGGCGCCTACACTGACCTCCTACGGAACTTCCGCACCAACTTCCTCGTACACTTGCGCTTCGCGCTGGCCCGGCTGCCCGAGGCCTGGGCGCGTGACCACCCGCCCGCCCGGCCGTACCAGCCGTTGCCCCGCCGCGCCGCCGACCAGCGCGTGGCTCCCAACTCCGACTCGGACAACCCCCGCCTGTTCGCCTGGGACCCCATGCACGGTGCCTCCGTATACAACCCCAAGGCCATCCGGCTCGTGTCGGCGCGCATCCCCGAGCACATGCGCGACGCGCCCGTCCACCAGACCGTCACGCTCCGCGACGGTCGGTCATTGTCCGTGCAAATTATGGGTTTGCCCGTCAGCAGGGCCTTCCGGATCCAGCGGTTCCGGGAGCGCCAGCGCATCGTGCACCGGGCGCACGCCGCCGGGCGGCTGACGGCCCGCGAGGCGGCTGTCGAGGCGGCCGTCGAAAAACTGGTCCAGGAGCGCCGCGCCGCCAAGGCAGCCAAGAGCCAGCAAACCATGGAGCGCGAAGTGACAAACGAAATGGCCGACCGCTGGTGGCGCAAAATGGACCGCGAAGCGACGCGCAAGGCCGAGGCGCGCGTGGCGCGGGCGGACGCGCGGCTACGTGCAGCAGAGCAGGATGAGGAGTTGTTCGCGCAGCGGATGGCGGCACGAAAACGCGTCAGCTCGAGCTTGAGCTACATGGACGGCTACGGCGACAGCGACGACGACGACGACGAATCCAGTGCCAACGAGATCGGCACCGAGGAGCACAACTGCGCAGCGCCTTGGCCGCGGCAGAAGCAGGCCGAGGCGCGTGGGGTCAAGAAGGGCTCCAAGAACAAAAAGCAGGGCCGGCCAGTCGGTGCGAAGGCGTCGCGAGACCCGGCACGCGCCGAGATTGCGCACTGGATACGGAGCGGGGACGTCAGCGACTGAAGTGGTAGCGGAGTTCCGTGCCTCCGCTGTATGAATAATGTCAAGAGGCCATGTAGTCTTCATTTGTTTGTTTTTGTTTTTATTTCTATTATGTATTGTTAATATTTCTTATGTATGATTCGTCTTTCTTAGGTCTACTTTCTCCTACTCTGCCGGCCGTCCGTTCTCACTGTTTGAGCCAGCCAACGCTGGTCCACGGATCCGCAACACGGCACACGGTCGCGTCCCGGGATTTCAAAGTAAATCTTTCAAAGTTTCGAGTCATACTCTTCTTTCTTTACTTTGCACCAGCGAGTACGTCGTACTACAGTATTCGGCATACAGTTTGTAGCACCCGGCAATTGACCTTGAGGTCGCGCCTGCCCTAGTTGTTGGTACGACCGTTATCTTGCCCTGGCAGGAGCACAAGCCAAGACATATCCGCAGTTAGCGGCAGTTGAGTGCCTTCCCCTGCCTTCTGTTTTTCTTCGACTCGTCCCTTTATTGTGGTAGCATTGCTCCACCCACTGCGCTGTTTCTCAGCGCCTTTTGCTTTCTTTTGTTTCGAATGACCCGTCCCTCCAGACCCAACAAATCAGCAGCGGCGGCCAGGAAGGGGCCCAAGGACTTCAAGACCCTAAAAAGACCCCTGCACTGTCTGCGCTGTTTTGCTTCTGCGCAGCGCACCGCGTACCTGCCTTCCCGGGCTGCCGCCGCCCGCTCTGTCGCTCTTTCCCTCGCACAGTCCGCCTCCCTGTCGGAAAGCGTGTATTACTTTGTCGTGTTGTGGCAGGAGGTAACTGACAGCACCTCAGCACCTTCCCCGAAGCATTTAGCGATAGACAGCTCCACGACCGCGAGGCTCATCCAATCCCAGCACGCTACGCCAGTCGTTGTTTCCATTTCCTGAGCCTCACAGCAGGCGCCCACAGTGTGCCAACCTCTCGGTCTTTCCTTCCACTAAACTGCCCGCGCCCTCCTTCCTCTTTTTCGTCACCTTCGGGCTTGGAGAGGAGCTTCCTTCTTTTCGTCCATCTCCTTCGATTCTCCCATCCTCTCTTTCTATCCCTTTCATCCATCTCTCTCCTTTTCCGCCATCGCCGCCCTTCATTCATGCCAACAACGATACGAGGCGCATATTCTATCCTTCAACGGTCCCTTTTCCGAGGTAAGAAACAAAGCTTTGTGTCAGCTGCTCCCACTACCCCATTCGGCCAGGCCCTCCCGACCTGTTGGACGTCGGTCTGCCTGTTAATAGGACCTATTTTGGTTTCTGTTGGCGGCCAGACTGCACACTACACAGCGCAACGCAGCACTCAACACGCCAGTCGATGCCCACTATTTCTGTTAGAAAGCTGCCTGCTGCAGATCTGTGCCGCAGCCCGCCGATTCCCTGCTAGCCGAGCTTGTTTGCTTCCACACCTCACCATTCTCTCCAGTCGGCATCCCCCTCAGGGCTGCTTCTCAACTTCTTTGTTGAGGGCCAAACAGAAACTCAATTCTTACCTCGCTGTAAACAGTGTTGGCTAACCTAGACTTGCAGCCCCATCTTGATGTTACTGCCCAGCTCAAAAATACGGGCGAGTAAGAGAACAAGAGGCGGCGTACCTGATCACGTGATCGCTTTTCACACGTAGAAAGTTCTCCTCTCGACGATAAACCGACGCCGACGAACTTGTCTTCACCATCACAGCCACGTCTGTGGCCCCTCACCTACAAAACCGGCACCTGCACCGGCCTATCACACCCTGACCTCTCGCCCGGACTGCAGCAGCCTCCACACCCATCTTCTTGTCTCCGACACAGCTCGCACGGTCTAACCTCCACCTACCGGGACTTCCGGGCGACCCTTCGTCCACCATGCCTGCCATCATGGACGATCCGGAGGCGCCCACCATCTACCGCGTCTCCGGCGTCGCCCCGTATCCTGACCCTGCGAACCCCGTGCTGCCGCCCAACGTCGCCCCGCGCCAGGTCACCCTGCGCGATCGCCAGACGGTCGCCACCATCATCCCCTTTGCGTCGCGCACGCACGTGCCCCCGTCGTTGCTGCTGTACCTGAGCGACCAGTTCCGCAAGGAAATCGAAGGCGGCGACACCTATCCAATGATCGACCCGATGCCTTTCGAGAAATTTGCCAACTACTGGTTCCAGAACTTTGGCGCCATTATGCTGCTCGGCCGCATCGAGCACGCCGAGGAGGTCGTCGAGGGCCGTGACTGGAGCAAGGAGTGCCTCGGCAGCTTCTACATCAAGCCCAACTACCCGGGCCGCTCCAGCCACGTCTGCAATGCCGGTTTCCTGGTGACAGACGCCTCGCGCAACCGCGGTGTCGGTCGCCTCATGGGCGAGACGTACCTGGACTGGGCGCCCAAGCTGGGCTACACCTACTCCGTCTTCAACCTTGTCTACGAAACCAACGTGGCGTCGTGCAAGATTTGGGACGCCCTGGGCTTCAAGCGCATTGGCCGTGTTAAGGGCTGCGGCAATCTCAAGAGCTATCCGGGCCGTCTGGTCGATGCCATCATCTACGGTCGCGATCTGGTACAGGGCGGCGAGAACGACGATCTCGTGAGTGATGACCGCTTCGACAAGATCAAATACTACCTCAAGTACGGCGAATATCCCAACGGGGCTGACCGCGCCGAAAAAAGCAGACTCCGTAGTGCCGCCACCACCTACAAGCTGCTTGACGGGGACGTCCTCATGCTCAAGGACAAGGAGGTGGTCTCGAACCCGGAACGCCAGTTCGCCATCTCCCGCGAGATCCACATGCAGCAGCACGCTGGCATCAACAAGACCACCGCCACTATTGCCGAGCGCTACCACTGGACGCGCATCAAGGACACCGTGTCGGACGTCATCCGCAATTGCGCCCACTGCAAAGACTCGTCCAAATCCCAAGGTACTGGCGCTCTTCCGGCCACCGACGGCGCATCTCTTTCCATTGCTAGCACCGGCATGAACAACATGAACAGCATGAACAGCATGAACATGAACAGCATGAACAATATCGGCATCAACAACTCATCGTCGTCTTCTTCTTCCACACCGTTGCCGACAACTAACGCCCCGCCAATACACTCGCCCTCTTCACTTGTCGACGTCATGTCTTCGACATCCACGCCCATGGAGCAAGATGGTAAGCCCTCCGACGACCACTCGCACAACAGCCCGTCCTCCCCGCAACCTCCACCGCCTCCCCCACCACATCCTGCCTTCACCGTCACCCCGGACAGCTACAAGGGTATCCGGGGTCCTGTGTCTGCCATGTCCATTGGCCAGATTCTGCGCGCGCCCACCGAATCTCCAATACCGCCCCATGCGGCCCTGCCTGGCCACAACCCAATGCTGCAGGACCAGCCGCGCGGCGGCCTCCACCCGGTACAGCACCCTTCCCACCACGCCCTCGACTCTATGATACCACTTCCCAACCCGCACTCTTCCGCCTTCCAGCCCATCGACCCTAAAATCATCAGCCAGCCATCACCACCAGGTCAACCCCACCAGCTCGGCCAACACCACACCCAGTATGCGCATCACAGCCACGGCCAGTCTGTACATCCGGGTATGAGTGGTGTCGGCGGTACCGGCGGTGGAGCCGGGGCCACGGGCCACCATTCCCACCATCAGCTGAACCAGCAGTCCGGCCATGCGGCGCTGGGTAGCCAGCACCAGAGCCCGCACCATCATGCAGGCATCGTTCACAACGATCCGTTTGCTTCGTTCCATGACACGGACGGCCAGAGCGCACACCATCAACTCAGCCACCAGCACCATCACACGACTGACGCCTTTACGTCGTTGCTAAATGCGCCCGATGACGATGACATCGTTGGTAGCGACAGCTCAGGTATCGGGCCCGGCGGTGCTGGTGGTCCGGGCGTTGGTGGTGGCAGTGGCGGCCCTGGTAGTGGTGGTATCGCTATACACCACCAGGCGCATGGCGGCCAGGTCACCGACCACAACGCTCACGCGCATGCCCACTCTCACGCCAACCCGCTTAGCCATGTACAGCAGTCGCAACAGCAGCAGCCGCAACAACAACAACAACAGCAACAGCAACAGCAACAGCCGCAGCAGCAGCACCATGGCCATCTGGCTGGTGGCGGCGGCGGCGTGCACGATGCGCGTGGCATTGTAGGTGTCGGTGTTGACGACGACGAGGCCGAGCGCGAACGCGAGGCCGCCGTCTACCGCGACCTGGACATGCTGATTGAGCCACAAGACGAGGATGACGACGATGCGAACCTCGACCTCAACAGCAGCATGGGTGCCCACGCCCAGGGTCACCTGGGAAGCCTGCGCAGTCACAGCAACAGTATCAGTGGTGGTCTTGGTGGTGTTGATGGGCATGGCAACCCAAGTCATAGTGGTAACATCACTGGTGGTGGGAACACTGGGAACACTGGAAACAACAACGGAAACGGTGGCAGCGGCGGCATCGCCCACCACTTGCACGATGACATGAGCAGCATAATGAATCACGACATGAACGACGACAGCAGCATGCATCACAGTATGAACCTGGGAGGCGGCCCACATCACGAGTCCATTGTCCACGACGACATTGTCGACAACATTGCCGGTGTCGTGGACGATGTCAACATTAGCGACAGCGGCCACCCGCAGCACCACCAGCAACATCTCTCGCAGCAGCAGCAGCAGCAGCAGCAGCAACAGCAGCAACAGCAACAGCATCACCCCATGAGTCACCGGAACAGCTCCGCCAGCCACAGCAACGCCATCCTCTTGACGGACATTACCAACAATGATGACAGCAGCAGCCATGTCAGCGCTAGCGCCAACAACATTGACAACGGTGGCAGCGGCACCAACAATAGCCTGCGGCCCGCCATGGACCTGGAGCCTGACCCGGAACCCAGCCCTGACGGCACCGGCGACGCCAGCATCAACCGCTTCATCTCCAAGATGGACATTGGCCGCCTGCTTTCGTCGGCCGAAGAGGCTGCCCGGGACGGTGACGGCAACGGCAACCTTGACGATGCCCCTAGTGCCCTTGCTGGTGGACCGAGTGGAAATGCTGGTGACAGCGTTGGTGTCGACCCCAACAGTGGTGGACCCAAACTGCCCGACGGTGATCGGCTCGAGGACGTTCAGTTCAGCGGTCTACAGGGATAGTTGACAAAGGGGGGGAAAATAATAATAAAGCGTTGAACAAGAGAAGACAAGCGAGCGGATGGCATTTGCAGCGACATGTGAGGTATTGGTATTTTTTTTCCTCTCGGAATCCGTCTTCGTCTCTTTCTCTTCTTGTAAAAGGCTGGCACCTCTGCTCCATTCATGAATGTCAGATTGTTACCCTTTTGGATTTTTTTTCACGCTTTTCTTGTGCCATACCTCCTTGTTTTCTTGCTTCAACGAATGATGTGTTCATGTCCCTGATTGGATATCTATATGTTTTTGACACATAAGCTTTTCCTTTTCCTTGGATCTGCGATTCTTAGCACATATTTACGTTTTGTCCTTTCTCTATGCTGTTAGGATACAATTGCACATTTTTACATGTTGGATGAGCTTCATAAAATACTCTATTTTGAACATTTTTGAACATTTGATACTTTTGTTTCGATCTAACCTCCCCTCCCCCCAAAACAGTAGGTATCACATCTACAATACATTGCCTCCCGTCCATTTTTGTCTTTTGCTGAAGAGATTATTTTTTGTGTCCCCCTTGCATAGAAAAAAAAAAGAGTGACCGCATAAACACCACATCCATATTTTTTATTCTATCAATGACGGATACAGCCGTAGATCTTGCGCATCCTCCTCTTACACATAGTCTCCAGTCCTCTCTATAGCCCGCCACGTTCTGCCAACTACTTTTCTTTCCCCTTTTTTTCCTCTGTCACGAAGCCAAGCCCCTCTCCCCCTTATTATATTTACCGCATCGGCATGCCCCGGCCACGGCCCCGGAGCGCCCGCTGCGCCGCGCCCGGCGGCAGCGCCCGGCCGGGTGCCTGTGGCTGGGCGCTCTCCTCGTTGCGGATGGTCTCGTCGACGCTCAGGATCAGGCAGCTCGCCTCGGTGGCGGCCTGCAGGGCGTTGATCTTGACGAGGGCGGGCTCCCAGACAAAGCGCTCCATCATGTCGGCGACGCCCTCGTGGACGAAATCGACGCCGGCCCAGGTGTGGCCGCGGTGGCGGTGCTCGACGCGCAGGGTGTTGAGGATGTCGGTGGCGTCGAAGCCGGCATTGTCGCAGAGCTGGCGAGGGATGACCTCCATGGCCTTGGCGAAGCTCTTGATGATGGCCTGCTGCTTGTGGGGCACGTTCTTGTCGGCGAACTGGTGCAGGTAGGCCGAGACCTCCATCTCGCAGGCGCCGCCGCCGCCGACGATGCTGCGGTTGCGAATGGCGCGCTTGACAATCATGATGGCGTCGTGCAGGGAGCGCTCGACCTCGGCGATGAACTGCTCGGCGCCGCCGCGCAGGACCAGGGTGCAGGTGCGGGCCTCGGGGCAGTCGGCAAACAGGTTGAAGCGCTCGCCGCCAATCTGGCGCTCCTCAAAGACGCCGCAGGTGCCGAGGTGCTCGGGCAGGATGTCGGAGCAGGTGGACTGGACGGTGGCGCCGGTGGCCTGCACGACGCGCTCCATGTCGTCGGCGGCGACGCGGCCGGCGCAAAAGACGTCGCGGTCGGCAAAGTACTGGGTGGCGAGGTCGCCAATGGGCAGCTTGGAGAGGACGACCTTGGCGCCGGTCTGGTAGACGGCCTCGAGCTTGCGGTAGATGATTTGCCACTCGGCGTCGACAATGGCCTGGTACTCGGAGACCTGCTCAACGCGGACCTCGGCGTTGTCCTTTTCGGCCTTGAGCTCGAGCTCGACGTTCAGGCAGACAATCTTGGGCTTGACAAAGGACTTGGGCTGCTGCTCGAAGCCGGCATAGCTAAAGGTCTTCTTGAAGGCGACACCGTCGACAAAGAGCGAGTCGGTCAGCGAGCCGCCGGGGATCTTCTTGATGCCTATTAACTTTTCGTCGAGATCGTCCTGGTCGAGGGACAGCACGGCGTCAACGACCACTGGAGGAGGGGGTGTTAGTACCGGTGTAATAAAAAAAAAAAAAAAAAAAAAAAAAAGAAAAGACGGGAGAAAGGGGCTGTGGCAGACGCACTCTTGGTGAAAAACTCAGTGTTGCGCTTAATGAGCTTGCTCGTCATGGCGGTCGCGGCCAGCTTGCTCAGAGTCTCGCGGCGGTTGGCCTCGTCGGTGTTGACGGCAATCTCCTTGATCTTGTTGACGGCCATGGTGCAGGCCCTCCGCAGGCCCTTGATGATGACCTGCGAGCTGACGCCCTGCTCGACGTGCTCCTTGACCTCCTTGAGGATCTCGCCGGCCAGCACGACCACGGACGTCGTGCCGTCGCCGACCTCGGCGTCTTGTGACCGGGCAATGTCCACCAGAATGCGCGCGGCCGGGTGGACAATGTCGAGCAGCTTCATGACGGTGGCGCCGTCGTTGGTAATGGTCTGGCGGCCGTTGGCGTCGACCATGAGCAGGTCGCCGCCATAGGGGCCGAGGGTGGACTTGATGGTGGCCTGGACGGCGAGACAGGCGTTGATGTTGGACACGATCTGGCCCTTGCCCTGGGAGGTATCGGTGCCTACAAAAAGGGAGGGGGGAGGAAGTCAGTCAGCGATGGGCCAAAGCAAGACAAAAGACGCCGCGCAAGGGCCTCCAGGGGGCAGCTTACCCTCTTTGAGGACAATGATCGTGGGTGTTTGCCCTCCGAACGACATCGTTGCAGAGGCAAAAGACGCAACGGGTAACGAAGGAAAGACGGCTGTTGAGACGAAAGAGAGTGACGAAAGAGAGTGCGGCTAGTAAAAAGAACAGACGGAGAAGCGGAAAAGGCAAACTGCGGTCGCAATGCCTTGCAGAATGGCTGGACTGCTTCGAAAGGACTGCTTCGAAAGCTCAACAAGGCAAGCTGCGGCGTTAGGACTCCGTATGCCGTCGTCTCGTCCGAATTCCGAATTCGACCTGCTGTTTCGCGTCTTCGCGTGGATGCTGCTGGTTCGGCGGCGAGCGTCGTGATCCTATCGTGCAGTGCAATTTGTAAAGGGGGTTGTTCGCGGGGCGTTGGACGGCCGTTGGTGCTTGTTGCTTGTCTGTCTCTGTCTCTCTCTCGAGCCCCAAAGCTTCCGAAGATTTCGAGAAGCTCCCATTCGAAAAATCCCAAAAATTGCCATCCCACCTAAAATTCCACCCACAATGCTGCCGCCTAGGCGGTCTAGGCAGGCAGGGTCGAACCAACTACAGCAGCCACAGGCACGCTTTGCGCTGGCCCCCCTATTTCGCGCCCCTCTATACTACGATTAGCAACCACTGGCGCCGCCTAAGCAGCCCCGCACAGTTCGTGATTGTAGATTACCATTATGGTCACGTGTGCACGGGGCTCAACAGGAAGGCTGAGTAATCGGTTTAAACCGGCGTCAACCCCTGAATTCATCAGAGGTTCACAATGGCGATACAACATATTATTGTATTTGTATCCTTTGCATAAGAACGATTCCCCTTCATCTTTCTCGACTCTCTTTGCAGTCGTCTCAACGCAGTGGCTGCATCCGGGATATTCATGTGTACCCGAGCATCATGCGCGTGACGCTCCTGTCCACCGGGCACTCTTCCCATCGGGCGGCATACTGGGATACCGGGTCGATGACGAGGTCGCGCAACTTGAGGCTGTCGATGGTGCTGTAGATGCAGAAACTGCCGCGGAGATTCCGCGACAGCCCAGGTAGCTGCTCAAACCGGACGGCCAGCGACTTCACATTGCTTTTGCCTGCCTCTGCCACCTTTTTCCAGGCGGCCTGGGCTCTCCGTGTCCACATATCCCTCATATTGACGTGGCCCAAAAACGTCACAGTTGGGCTGGGATGCGCCTCGTATCGGAAGATGCTCGCATGCTCTGTGCACGTCTGCCAGATCTCCATGGTCTCCAGATTGGGCATCTGGTAGGCGGCCCTGCCGGCGAGGACGACAAGGTCCTGCGAATCGCGCAGGCAGGTGGCTTCTCGGGCGTCTCGTTCTTCCACGGTCTCTGGGGCCAATGGCGGTGTCGGCAGATACTCCACCTCTTCTTCATCACCGTCATCCCCCGGTGTCTCATGGCCTGCGGCGTGAGGACTGAACTGCAAAGGATACATTTGGTCGAACTGGGGATGATTGGGGTGAATTGTCATATAGGGGCTCATATTAATGACAGAATCCAATGACCTCGGACTCTGGTATCGACGGCGCTCTTGCTAGGCGCGCGTGTGTTTGGGTCGCAGGAGGGACGTTGTCAAGGCCAGTGTCTTGAGACGAGGCCAGCAGCGTTGGCCTGGGCCTGCGCCTGGGCTGCTCGGACCGCCTGATTCAGTCGGATCTGATCCAGGCCCATCGCTGTCGTCTTTGGGGAGACGGATTTTAAAAAAATGCCAAGCATCGGCCACGAACGCGGCCGACACATGCTCCAAGTGGCGGCTGGCCCTGAAGAAGAATTGGCTCATGTCTTTGACCGCTGGATCGTCGGGGGTATACGCCAGCGCGAACTTGTATCCCGTCGCAGTGTGTAAAAAATCGATATTGACTGACTCCGGCACAGGAGCGCCGGGGGGTGTATGGCTCAGAAAGACAGACAACGTGTTGAGCGTCTTCAGTTGAAGGCCCTTTAGCTCATGGAGGATGTGGAGGACGTCGTCTCCGAATGTCTGCCATTGCTCTCGTTTTGTGCCCCCCGTGCCAACAAAGCCCGGATCGCAAAAGTGCGGCTCCAGCCGAACGCGGCAGACGTTGCTGAGTTCCTCCCGGAGCAAGGAGCTTATACACGCCGGACTGATCTGCCGGAGCGGTTGACGACGCGTGATGAGGGTTTTCACATTGGAAATGTTTGGCAGCTTTGGGCGCCCGCCCAGCCCGCCGAAATCAAAACCCAGTGGGCTGGTCCTGCCCAAAACCCGGTTGGATAAGGGGGGAAGCGTGATCGCGGCCTCGCGTGCATGGTAATTGAGAATAGGAAGCTTGCGGTGTCGATGAAGCGCGTGCGCCCAGTATTGCGGGTCCAAGTCTTCTTTTGTTTGGAATGGATAGCTCGGGTCACACCGGTAAATGTTGAACTGATGCTGGTTGTCGCTTGGAGATGCTGCACTCAGCTCCAAGGTAAGGCCCAGCTCTGCGTCCTTGTTGTTGTCGGTGTCACTTTCAACGCCAACGGCACTAGTTTCAAAGGTGGCCAGGACCCGGAGCAAGTCGTACACCCCGCGCGTAAAAATGCGGTCATTTTGCTCCATTGTCTCCAATGTTTCGTGTTGTTCACATGTTTCACAGGTGTATGGGGGGAGCAGCACAGTGAGACGGAGGTGTTTAATGTAGCCGAAGCGCAAGCCGTTGGATCCGCGAGCCACGTTGGCAAACTCAGGAATGTCCTGGTCCGAAATGTACATGACTTTGTACAAGATCGGCTCTACGCAGTGCTGGAACTGTCGCGAGACGACAGAAAGAGCAGCGAGGGGATGGAGAGAGCTTCGCGTGCTGCGTGGAAGGTCGGGACGCTCGGTTCTGTTGGCCCGGTCCCAATCGGCGACCAACTCGCAGATCATCATCACCAACTCAGGTGGCAACGTGTCTAGAGATGCCATTATTGCGTCGAGGAGGGGAATCGAGGAGGGGAATCGAGGAGGGGAATCACGTTCGGGGTGGCAGAGAGACGTGTAGAGTAGGAGAATACTGATGTTCACGTAGTGAATCGATGTCAATAGTCGAACGGCACCAATAAGCGTTATCCAATATTTCTCTGAGAAATCATGGTAGGGGGAAAAACGAGATATGAGAAGGGCGAAGAGCGAGAGAAATAAAAGGGGGTAAACAACCTGTGGCCAGGATAAAACACGGAAGGCACGATACACTTGCACAACTCAACTTGTTGCTATGGACGATTTAGGAAAGAATAAAAAGGAAAGCTGAGAATGAAAGGAAACAACGCAAACAGAAGGAGCGTTTATATCAACAATTACGTAGCCTAGGGAAAGCCATATAAAGTTTTATGTTAAAATGTGTGAGAGTGAAGGAGAGACAAAAACAATGTCATAGAGAAATACAGGAAGAAAAGAAGAAAGAAGAAAAAAAAGAAGAAAAAAAAAAAAAAAAAAAAAAAAAAAGTAAGAAATGGCACGACTTAAAACGCCCAAAAAACCGATCCAGGCAGGGATCGAACCTGCAATCTCTTGGTTCGTAGCCAAGCGCCTTGCCATTTGGCCACTGGACCTTATTGGTGTGTACTTTTGCAATGTTTCAACCAGTGTAGTATATAAGACACCATTTTTTGTGGTCTGTGCACCTTTTCGGCTAAGTTATCTTGGCCTTTAAGTGTCTAGCTGCGCTTCGCATTTTTTCCAACAATGTTTTCTGTTGTGTGATCGAGCCTTCTCTTGTGGACTAAATTTGTAAAGGAAAACTGCGACCTGGCAACACCCCGGTGAATGGGCAAGAACGAGTATACGTAAGGTCATTCTTTTGGTCTTCTGGTCTTTCTTTCCCATGCAAATTTAATAGAGAGCAGGTCGTCACAGCGCCCAAACAAAGAAGCAAAAACGGCAAGTCGAAACGGTCACGGTAACTGACTTGGACAGAACTACGACTAAAGGTAAAGGACCTGTGGCTACAATCGCGTGCGCACTGCCACCTGCCTTCGTCTGGAATCGATTCTCTCCCGGTAGGCTGATCGATTTGCAGTCTTGGAAAGCACTGGTGCCGAATTCCTGTTTCTCTCACTACTGCAGAATTGTCAACACAGGCGTCCGGTATGTTGTATCAGAGTCAGAATTCGATTTTTTCCGGCTCCACAACTCGCCAGCGCCACCACCTGTATAAGCTCTAATAGGACCAACAATTTTCATCAGCAGCTCAGGCGGCTTACGTTGTACCGATCCGGAACATCGAAAGCCCGTATAGCTCAGTGGTAGAGCGCAGCACTCGTAATGCTGAGGTCCTTGGTTCGATCCCAGGTGCGGGCAAATTGCCAATTTCTTTTTGCATTTTCACGACAAGATGCCCGACATTTGTTTCTGCGTTTTACGTATCGTCACAAGCCAGGTTGAATTTGTTTTTTTTTTTTTTTTTTTTTTTTCTTTAACGCTCCTGGTGTTTATGTTATTCATCTATTATGCTTCATGCTGTGTACTCATGCAGTGCGAAACTCATTATTCCGAGACGAGGTCGCCTTTTCCATATCAAACAAAAACGCCATGCCAATGAAACAACACGACGACAAATACAATAAATCATCCAAAATGTGCGCAAACCGTTACCCATATGCAGTCCTGCCTTTCCGTCCATCTCCTGTACACATTCATTATGATTGTACCTGCTTGTACACCTCACACCTAGGCTTTACAGCCCACCCATGACCTCCTTCACGACATCGCTCAGCATCCGCAGGCCGTAAAACGTCGCCACATTGCTGTATACCCGCAGCCGCCGCACCACCTCGTCGCGCCGCACCGTCGGCCCCCACTCGCCCGAACACGTGCAGTGGTCCATAAAGTCGTTGACGCGCAGCGCGCCGCACCGCCCGCACTTGAGGTCCTGGACGGACCACGCCAGCGCCTCGGCCTCGACAGCGGCCACGAGCCGTTCTTCGAGCGCGATGCGGTCGTACTCGGCCTGGCAGAACGTGCAGGTCCAGGGTTTGGGGACCCCGCCGCCCTGCGGATCGGGCAGCAGATCCTCGTCCCGGCAGAGGTCCAGGTCGCGCGCTGTGGTGCAGTTGTCGCAGCTGACCTGGGCCAGCTTGAGGCTCTCCGACGGGTTCTGGAAGGCGGCGTCGCGGCTGAACTCGCGCACGTCAAACAGCGCCAGGAGCTCTTTGCGCAGCAGGCGGGCCTCCATGGTAATGTTCTTGTCCAGCGACAGGACCTGCATGAGCGACTTGACGAGCTCGAGGATGGGGTCGCGCGATGCAACGGCCGCGACGACTTTCTTTGACGACGACGACGACCGAGTGTCCCTGTGGGCAGGCATCACCAGCGACCCGGGCAGCACGGGGTAGTCGTAGTCCGAGGCCAGCTCGGGGTGCAGCATCTCCCGGTTGCGTGTGGAAATCAAGCCGGCAATCTCCTTTTTGAGGGGCCGCTCAAACGACGCCCCCAGCAGCGCCTTGCCGACACTGCCATCCGCCATGTCGCCGCTTCCACCGTGCAAGACGGCGGGCGGAAGTTGGGTTAGCCGCGGTTGGCTGCCGTGCCGCCCGTGCTGCCCGTTGGCCGCTGCGGCGGGCCGCTTGAGCGCGTGCATCAGCTGAACAAACTCGACGACCCAGTCCGAGAAGACGGACTGCAGGCGCACCGGCAAAAACGTCTTCATCTGCCAGTGCATAATCGTCTCGAGCGGCTGCTCGGCCTCGACCCGCGTGCCGTCCGGCAGCGTCACGAGCTCGCCGAGGCTGCCGCCGCCAATGGTCTGGCAGGCTTTGCCGCCGTAGTTGTACTCGTCGTACCAGACGAGGTAGTCCCAGTACTCCTTGATGTCCATCTCGATGAAGCTAAACAGCGGCCGGCTCTTGATGCTCTTGATAATGTACTGGCTGTATGCATAGGCATTGGTGACCTCGGCCTTGGTCGTCTGCAGCAGCAGCCGGTTGGCGCTGGCAAAAATCACCTGCGAGCCGACGCGGCGGAAGTCGGCCATGAGCTGCTGGAAGGCCTTGCGCGACATCATCTGCACGTAGTAGTGCAGCGCGCGGTCGTACAGGAACGAGTCGGGGTTCTCGACCCAGCGCACGAGGTTGTTCACCACCAGGTCCGCCATGGCGTTGCCCCGGCAGGCCTCGGCCCACCAGCCCTTGACCATCTCGCGCAGGACGAGGATGCTGGCATTGGAAAAGGCATTCTCCGCATAGAGCGTCGACGCGCCACCGTCGGCATCGTCACCAAACGCCCCGCCTGCGTCCGCGGCCGGGTTAAAGGACACGGCGGCGTCGGCACCTTCGAGCTCGTTGATGAGCGACGACGTCAGGATCGTGTTGATGGCCAGATTGCGCACGTCAATGTCGACGCAGACGGACGCAAACGTGCCGGGGTTGTTAATCTTGGGCAGCGACACCGTCTCGAGCGGACCGGCTACGTCGTCCTTTTCGTAGCCTGCGTGGTCGGGCCGCGGGCTGCCGGACCACCAGAGCACGACATTGTTGTTTTGCAGGCGGCGCGCATAGGCCACATCAATGAGGAATCGCGGGTCGTCGCGCTCCAGGTTGCAGACGGGGACGTCGCCGTAGCGGGCAAGGCCGACCAGATGGAGCACCCATGCGCCGAGGGCCAGGTAGTGGCTGACGAGGCGGCGGGCGACCACCGACTGCCAGCCCAGAGGCGGCAGCGAGCTGTCGAGCGGGTCGTACTTGAGCGGCAGCACAGGGAACTCGCCCAGCACGGGGATGTCGTGGACGAGCATGTTGCGCTGGGACGACTGGACGACGAGGATCTGCGGGCGGCCAATCTCCTCCTTGCGCATTTTCTTGACAACGTCACCAATCTCCAAAAAGGCTTTGCGGCGCGTCGTGACCTGCGTGACCTTGACAGTGAGCGCATCCTGGTACGGGAAGCACTCGCGCCACGTGGCGGCTGCCGCGGCCGCCTGTCGAGCGGCCTCCTTCTCGGCTTCCGAAGACAGGGCCGCCAGCGCTGCAGGAGTGGCGCCCGCCTGGGCCTCGGCCTCGGCGTCGCGGCGGCGGGCCAGCATGTCGCCGTACAGCTTGCCGACGTTGGGCATGTCCTGGACGCTATCGCGGTTCTTGTGCAGGACGACGACATGGGCCTGACTGTTGGTGGTCGAAAAGAGACCAAAGATTTGGCGCTCGCCAGAGCTAATGTGCGACAGGTGGATGTAGGCCATGGCCGAGGGGTCGAGGTACGGCCGCAGCGTCTTGGGCGGACGGATCAGGCCCGTCAGGTCGAAGCCTTGGTCCAGGCCTTTGCCGAGCACGCCCTGTTGCGACTGGTCGATGGTGCAGCGGTTGCCGAGCTGCAGGAGGGCGCGGACGTTGAGGGGCAGCTGGCGCTCGTAGACGCCCTCGACGCTGGGGTGGTTGAAGAGCAGCGCAAACTTTTCGGCTTCGGCAAAGTAGACGTCTTCGGACACCGTGAGCTTGAAGAGGTAGACGGACGAGTGGCCGTTGGGCAGGGTGTGGCTAACCTGCTCGACCTCGCAGCCGGGGATTTCAATGTCGGGCAGGTCCTTGCTCTTGAGGTTGAGGAAGACCTGGCGGTCCACCTTGATCTTGACGTGGTGGATGCGCGCGTCAATGAGCACGTAGGCTGCCACGATGCCGGGGCTGTCGGTTGTCTTGAGCTGCAGCAGCTGCCAGGTGTTGCGGAACGTGATCTCGGCGCGCTGCTGGAACGACTGCTGGATGCTGTTGGCCTTTTGCTGCATAACGCCGCCGCCGCCGCCGCCGCCGCCGCCACCAGCACGGTCGCCAAACAAGTGACGCCGGCGGATCCGGGCCTGCTTCTGGATGGCCCACTTCTTCTTCTGGTACTCAAGGAAGGCAATGTAGTCTTCGCTGGCAGACGGTGCCACCTTGGGGAGCGTGGAAAATGGGTCGAGCGACGCGGCGTCGTCGGTCTCCGGGGGCGACTTGCGCTTTTGGGCGGCCGTCGGCGACGATGCGGGGTTCTTGGCTGCTGCGGTCTCCTCTTCCTCAATCGTCAGCATCTCGGCCACTGCACCGGCCGTGGTCGTCGGCTTGATCAGTTTCTGGCTCGCCGAGAGCGACCCAAAGTCCTCCATGTCCGCGGCGGCGCCTCCTCCGGCGCTACCCGCGAGACGCGAGTTGCTGCTCAAGTTGGTAATGTCCTCGAGCGGGCCGGTTTGTTTGCCAAACAGGTCGGTGAGCTTCTTCTGCTTCATCTTGTCGTCCTTGATGTTGATACGGCGCTGCAGCCAGTCCGGGTGTGCGACGCGCGGGACGGGGTTGCGGATCTTTTGCAGGGCGGCGGGGATGGTGATGAGCTTCTGGATGACCGAGCCCAGACGCTCCAGGTAGTAGTCCCAGTCGAGCAGGGCGCGGGGGTCCGTGTCCTGGGGCTCTTCCTTCAGCCACTTTTTGAGGTACATGCGCTTGGTGGGCTCGTCGGCCGAGAAGATGGCGACGGGGACGGCGCGTTCCGTGACGGGGGCGTTGCGGGGGCGGGCGCAGATGATAAACTTGCAGTTGAGGCCCTTGTCCTTGACCATGCCTTCGCCCAAGAAATCGGCGAGACGGCGGGCCGTGGTGATGGACGTGGACTTTTGGCTGCCGTACTCCTCGAGCGTCTTGCTCATGCTGCGATTCTCGGAAATCAGCTCCATGAGCTCCTCGTCGGCGAGTGTGGCGCCCTTGCTGTGCAGCACATCGAGCCAGCGGTTGGCGACCTTGGCGACGGAGGCGTAGCACTCGGCCAGCGTGGAGCCGTCGAGGAAGAACTTGAAAATTTGCTGCTGGAAGATCTTGATGAGCTTGAGCTCACCACGGCGCTTGACCTCGAAGCCCTTGAGCTCGGCCAAGCTGCCGTCGTCGTTGAAGACGGCGTAGCGCTTCTTCAGGTTCTTGTCCTCTTCCTTGGACGTGGGCAGGACCATGGCTTTGTAGGGGCCGTCGACCTCGAAGAAGATGGAGTTGTCGCTGTGGGTCTCGTACCGGAACGTTTTGCTGTCGACGAGGGTCTGGTACTGGTGGTTGGTGAAGCGGGCGTGGACGAGGTGGTTGAGCATGACGCAGGGGTACGAGATGGTCATCTTCTTGCCGTTCTTGAGCTTGAAGGCAAAGTTTTCCGGGAAGGTGGCCGGCAGCATGCACCAGATACCGTCGGTGTCCAGCTCCAGGGGCCGGCCCAGCCGCTCGACCAGCTCACGCGCCATCTGAATAATGTGGGCGCCCGTCAGACAGGTCACGCCGGCCATCTCCATGGAGTACCAGCGCGAGCCCTTGCGCATGACGTAGCCATAGAAGGAGTTGAGAATCACCTTGTGGGCCAGCTGCAGCGAGTCGAAGAGCACAATCATCTTCTTGGCACTGTCGATTTCCGAGGCGGCAGCGCCGGCCGACTTGAGCGACTCGGTCTTGCCCTTCCACACCTTGGCACGGCCCTTGTAGTCGTAGCGGCGGTCTCGGAAGTCGCGCACGGTGTTGATGTAGAAGGGGTTCTCGCGCTGGCAGATGATGGCCTCGCGGGTGATGGTCTTGGAGTCGTGGATCTTGTGGTAGACTTTCTGGGAGTACAGCTGCAGGCGCTTGCGGACCAGGCTGGCCTGCTCGTCAGCCGACAGCTCCTGGAAGGAGCGGGTCTTTTGAGTGGCGTAGGGGCCCTTGCCGGGGAAGCGCTCGTTCTCGAGGGCGTGGCGGATCATGTTGTACTCGTCGCGCTTCGCGGGGATGTACTCGCCACGCCAGGACCAGGGCATGCGGCGGTCGCACGTCTTGCCGGGCCGGTTGAAGTCGCAGGTAGCACAGTCCTCCTCCTTGATCATGGAGTCGGGCTGCAGACGGTTGGTGGTCATGATGTTGGGGTACATGGAGGCAACATCCAGGTGGTAGATGAGGGGCCGCTCGCTGCGGTGGGGCGTGTCTCGGAGGTTCTGCAGCTGGGCGACGATCTGCGCCTTGACCTCGTCGTAGTTGGTGACGTCGTCCATGGACTTCTTCTCCTCGACAGTGATGCTAAACTCGAGGGCGGCATCCAGATCGCGAATCAGCTCGTCGCAGGCGGTCGGATCGACGGCAAAGTTGACGGGGATGTCGGCGCGGAAGACACCGGCCTCGATGCTCTCGACGTGGCCGCCCACGTAGGTCTCGGCGTCCAGCAGATGGCCCTCCCAAAACGATTCCTTGGGCGATACGTGCTTGTTGGGCAGCACAATCTCCTTCTGGTAGGCCTGGACCATGAGCAGCATCTCACAGAGCGTGCCTGTGCCTTTCCGCAGGACCTCGTCGGGACTGAGTGGCAGAATGGTGCAGAGCGAGAAGATGAAGGGGTGGACGTATTTCATGTACAGATAGTAGGTGGCGACGGCGTCGGACACCGAGTACTCGGCCAGCGTCTGGGGCCGTTCCTGGGCATAGGGCAGCATCAGCTCGGGGTCGAGCTCGTCTGGGTCGTAGCCCAGCTTGGCAACGGTGACGGCCTTGAGGCCACGACTGCCCTGCGGCAGGTACGAGTCGCGGTTGACCCAGTGGAAGCAGTCCATGTGGACGGAGTAGTCGCACTTGTACTGCTCCTCGCTGTCGCGGCGCCAGCCGATCTCGTGGTACATGTCGATGCCGTTGGCGCTGGCGCGGGCCTCGACAAACGGCCAATCGAAAAAGTCGCCGTTGTATGTGGCGATGACGGTCGGACGGGCCTCCTTGACGTGCAGGAAGAAGCGTTCCAACAAGGCCTTCTCGTCGGGCTCATTGAAAATCATAAACGGACCGGGGTACTCGGGCCGCGGCGTGTACTCGAAATCGGCAATGTCCTCGGAGACGATGTCGCGGTTGGTAATCAAAAACCCCTGGCCATCAATCATGTAGGAGATCATCATGATCTGGTCGATGGTGGCGTCCGGGAACTTGAGGGGGGACTTTGTGGTCTCGATATCAAAGGCCATGACGACCGGGTCGGCCATGGCGAGACGATCGGCATTGCAGGCGACGGTGGTGACGCCGTGCCTGACGTCGACCGCGTACCACTTGCCGACACGGATGTCCATGTCGATGAGGACGCGGACGTGGTAGGGCACGTCGTACTCGCGGATGTCGACGATGTAGTCGCTGGCCTCGGCGACGGACGTGTTGGTGCGGCGGGCCTGGTCGTCGGCGTGGGCGTTGCGCGTGTCGTCATCGTACAGGTCGTGGCCGTAGTCGTAGCTGTCGCCGTCACCACCGCCACTGTCACCGCCGCCGCCGCCCAACATGGACGTCGACCCGGCCACTTCGGCGTACGTGTCCATGGCGTTCATGCCCTTCTTGTTGGCCTCGGCAATGGGCATAATGTCACGGCGCACGGCCATGAGGTTCTGGACGTTGTCGAAGCGCAGCTCCAAGAACGTGCGGCGGTAGCCCAGCAGGTGGTTGGGCATCTGCAGGTCCTCCTTGTCGACGCGGCGCACGCGCTTGACCAGTCCGCCGCCGCCGGGCACGCGCTTGCACCACTCCTCCACTTCGGTCTCGTGGCCCTTGCGGACGGCCACCAAGAAGTACGGCTCGTACTCGATGGTGGCCTTGAAGGTGGTCGCGTCGGCGTCGGGCCCTGCGGCCGCGTTGCCGTCTGGGTGCAGGTCGATAAAGTAGAGGTCCACGGCAGCGCGGCCGCCGCCGCCCTCGACGCGGTCGTCCTCGATGGACGTGGGCTCGATGTTGACGAGCCAGCCTTCGCGTTTGCGGCCGCCCTCGTAGCGCGGGAAGCCCATCTTCTCGTCGATGGCGTGGGCGAGGCGGGTGCGTTCCCATTTCTCGTCGGCCGAGGTGCCTTCGTTGCGGCCGCTGCCGGCGGCAAAGGTGCGTTGTGGGCGGGTGCCACTGCCGCCATGGTAGGCCTTCTTGCCGCCGCCTTGGCGGAAGCCTTTTTGCGGCTGCCGCCGTAATGTTGTGTTGGGCATTGTGTGTGTGAGAGAGAGAGAGAGAAAGAGGGGGAGAAGCGACAAAGGAGAGCGACGGGACGAGGAACGAAGAGGTCCTCGTTCAGTCTACTATGTTGACATCAAGAAGGGGGTTGCCAGAGTGGGAGGGAAGGAAGGGGAAAACAGAAGGGGTCGTGGATCTGTGCAGGCCGAGCTACTGTGTGCTCGCCGTGTCGGCTCGTTCGTGGTCGTGATCGTTGCCGTTCGTGTATGTCCGCAGGGGGGTATCGTGATATCTTGAGGTATGGAGAAGATACAAGAAGGAGAACCAGAAGCGGAAAAACAGAGGGACACAACAGACACGCCAAATCCAACGAAATACAGAGCAGTACAAAGGGCAAGAGGCATTGGTCGCAGTTACTTGTTACGGTGCGTAATTACTTGGCGGCGCCTTCCCTATTCTGCTGTTGCGCGTAAAGAGCCTGTTGCCGCAAGGGCAAGGAAGGAGCGACGAGGCGACGCGTTCGAGGTCCCCTCTCTGCACCAAAAGACGCGTTTTGATCGTGGCGTGGCCAAAAAACTGCGGGAGTTTAATGGCCTAATTAGTGCTTATCGGATTTGCCCAAGTGCGCTGAAAGACAGCGCTTGACACGCCCTGGAACCAACACGCGTCGGCCACGGCCCGTGAAAGTGGTCGTTCGGCGCACGGACCAGCAGCCAATAGAGTCGCTGTTTGTTTCCCCTGAGCTCCCCTCACTTCCAAGTGCTTCTGACGTCGTAAGAGCGACAAAAGTGGGGCCGTTTTTTGGCTGGACAGTTTTTTTCCCAACTACACCGAAATCATCGAAATCACACGATCCACGATTCGAGACGATCATGACGATGTCACGAGCCGGGCGAGATACACACATACTACACGAGCACACACGAAGATAACACACGAACCTGGACTGAAGAGACCAACCAATTGGTCCCTCGCCAAATCAGTCTCTTCTCTATCAAACTCAACCTCACTGCCCACTCCGTCCTCCTCCGTCCACATGGCCGGCGACGCTTCTTCAGCGCCGTCACCGCCACCGCCGACGACGGCACCGACGGCCACGTGGGGCGCGCAGCACTTTGACAAGCCGCCAACGAGCGAGGAGCTGCGGCCGTCTTCACAAACACAAGCAGAGTCGGCACAGTCGGCACCACAACCGTCACCGGCACCGGCACCACCAGTCAAGCAGACGGCCTCCGTGTCCGACGCCGTCAAGACCATCAAGGCCAGCGACTTCCTGACCGTCTACCAGATCCCGTGCGCGCGCGAGGGCTTCCTGACGGGCATTGGCGGCGGCGCCGTGGTGGGGGGGCTGCGGTTCGTGCTGGGCGCGAGCATCCCCAAGGCGGCCAACTGGGCGGTGGGGGCGTTTGCGGTGGGGGGGATTGTGGCGTTTGAGGTGTGCCAGGGGGCGCGGCGGGCAGAGGCGGCCAAGATGAAGCGGGTGGTGGAAGTGTACGACCGGAAGCAGGCGGAGCTGCGGCGGCGGGAGGCGGACAAGGCACGGGCAGCGGCGGCGGCCGCACGGGCGGAGACATTACGGTTGGAGGAAGAGGCCAAGGCGAAGCGATGGTATAAGTTTTGGTAGGTTTTGTCACGATATTGATGAGATTGAACAAATAAAAGAAAGAAAGAAAAAGGCCTGGCTCAAAGAAAAGTGCGTAACAGAGGTGCCATTGTAACAAGGCATGCGTGAATGATAATTTATTCGTATATTCGTTTCCTGTGAGCATATTGAAACAGTAGTAGTGGAAGAGACAGTAGATACAAAGGAGTACTCTATAATGGAGTAGTAGTGCAGAAGAGGAATGGAAAGACAAGAGAAGAAAACGAACGACGGGTCGTGGGTATCAGTGTCGACACAAACAGTATAGAAGTATGTACGTGTAGAGGAGCAACATGGACAAGACGTGTCTCGTAAACCAAACAGCACACAGCAGTAAAAATAGACAGGAACCAGACGTAAACCAAGTACATATATGTGCTTCGCCTGCGAGCTGGAGAGGCCGCCAGAGCTCACGACGACATGATCGACGTCGGACTCGGCACGGCATCCGGCTCCTTGAACCGGATGGTGACCGGGCCGGTCTCGAGGAAGCGCACGCGACGGACCGAGGGGGAGGCGGCGGGGGAAGAGGACGGGGGCGGCGAAAGAGCCGCCGTCGTCACGGCCGTCGTGTGCGCTCGGGGCGTGTGCGGAGAGGCCACGGCCGATACCGAGGCCACGTCGTCGAGGGACGGGAGGGACGACTGTGAGGAGGACCCCGACCCGATATCATCAAGTTGTGCCGGGCTGCCCTGGCTGCCCTGGCTGGCCTGTGAGGCCCGGTTGGCCCTCGTCCGCAGCCAGCTGCGGCGCGCCCGCGCCTCGCGCTCTTCCCGCCTGCGGTAGGCGGCAAGCTGCTGGCGGCGTTTGAGGGCGCGGGCGTGGGCCATGGCGGGCGTCGGCTTGAACCCGATTCCGTTGACGCCGGTGCCGTCGTCGTCGGCGTCGTTGGGGTCGTACACAGTAATCTCGTCGTCCTGCCAGGTGAGAGAGGCGCGCAAGGGGTCGGTGATGACGCGGTTGGTGTCACCGGCAGGAGGTTTGGCATCCTCGCTGCCGCCATCCCGCCTCATGCGTTTGTGGAGCGGCTGTTTGTCGACAGCGTCGCCAGCGTCGCCAGCGGCTTCCGCTCTGGCGTCGGTGCCAAGCCTGGCCTCGACCTGGCTCGTTGTGCCCCCAGCAATGGCCAGGCTGCTGAACCGGTTGGCCACATGCGTGCGCGGACTGCTCCCGCCACCATCGTGCGGGTCGAGGGCGGCACGCCCAGCCACAAATGGCGCAATGGCAAGACCGGCGGTCTGGACGAGCGGGAGGTGGTATGGCGACGCGCCGTCGGCTTCCGGGCCAACGACGCTGCCGTCTCCCACAGGCGGTGGTCGTGGCGTGATAAAGGAGAATTGGGATGTGGCCGAGGAGGCAGCGAGAGGGGGAGAGGAGGAGGCAGCGCTGGCCGGTGGAGATCGCGGAGCAGCGGTGTGGAGGGCGATAGTAGTGGTTCGAGGACGGAGAGGTCGTGGCGGCGGGGGTGATAGTACGTCCTGGCGAGCGTGCGCGTCGTCGTCGTCGTCGTCGTCGTCATCGTCGCGACGTTTCCTCTTGGCCGTCGTGGATGCGGGCACTGGCGGCACCGCTGGAGACGAAGTCATGGCTATCGAAGTATTTGTGGGTGATGGTGCTGGTGAAGGAAGAGGAAGCACGACTGATGCTGCGTCTGCTGTCGGGGGGAATAATGGTGCTCTCGCGGCCGCCGTTACCGGAACAGGCGGCGGAGAGCGTGGCGGGTTGGGCATGGGCAGCCGGACGGTTCGTGGGGCGCGATACTGTGCAGCGCAGAAGAAGTTTGACTATGGCTTCGCGTCCGTCGAGAAGAGGACCTCGCAGAGAGACGTGGTCTGGGAAGCGGCCAGCGTGAATGCGGCTCGGTGAATTGTTGAGGTTCAAAGGACGTGACAGGAATGGCCTGGCCAGGGCCCTTGTAAGATAATTACAGCGTAAATAGGGCAGCAATACGCTGCTGTGGGGTCGTTCTAGGCCGCGTGCGGCAGGCGTGCCGGGCAACGATGAAAGGACTATGGGGACGACTGACAAAGGAGTATGCAAATGTGAAAGTAGTCAAACAAAGGATGAAGAATTCAGTTTCACTCCTTTTGATGCACTCCACGATGCACGTCGTAAATCGTGCGTTTCCGTGCGTTTTCCCCTCTTCCGATGTGCGCAAGCCTCCCACGCTGTCTCGATACCCGGCTGCCCTCACATGTCCACAAGCCCACTCTGGTTGGTCCACAGGCGTCTGCCGGGAGTGAGCGCGCTCCACTGGACTCGCTGCGCTGGCCCGACCCCATCCACTAAGCGGCGCGAACGATAGTCGTGCATGGCCTAACACTGTGTAATTACTCCTTACGGAGTACACTCGGGACCAGGGCTAGAGGGGCAGCAAACCTGTAGGGAACCAGGACCCTGCCGCCGTCTAACAGCGTGTCGTTGTGGCATGTCCAGAACACGTCGTCTTTGGGCGGGGACGACGAGGAGCCCGACTGCATCGCCCCCGGGCGAGATGCGCTGGATGCACACCCAGTCAGCATGACGTACGTAAACCGAGTCTCAGCATGGAAACATCGAAGCTCACGGTACTTGCAATGGGTCGTCGTCGCTGCTGGTAGTCGATCCTACGTCGTGCAGAAAGCGGCTGCCTCGACAGTTCGATGGTGCCCAATTCGTGTCTACCCCGCAGTAAGACAACCATGATCCCGGCTCGCTGGATTTACAGCACCACCGGCCAGTTGCGCAATCCGGTAACCAAAACAGTGTCATATGTGTTCGACGCCAACGCCACCAATAGACGCAGTACGACGTATGCACCCTGCGCCGCAACAACTTAGATCTGCCCTTAGGAACTCCAGCGACTGCAGTGGCTCCCAAGACAACAACAAAAAAACATGAATTTTGCTTGGTAACACTGTTGGGTTGGCTTGTCTTTGGTACCCGATATGGCAAATTCCCATGTAACCAGGTCGCTTTTGTGTCTGTTTTGTGTCGCCAGGATATCCAAAATGAACCAGACGTAAAATAATGAAAAGACGGCCAAAATAAACCATATACAAAGATTGACTAAATACGCAGACGCTTTTTATATAATGTACAACGCTCTACCCAAAATTAAAATGTACGAACCACTGGCCGCTTCCAGGAGTACTTATTCGTCTTTGTTGACTGTGACTGTAGATTCGGCGATGTCTTTACCGCCCTCTGCACGGACACGACCTCCGCTCAGTGCTCAGTTCAGCAGGCTGTCAATGCTGCCCACACTGCTCGGCCCTTTACGCCGCTGGAATTGGCCGGTGAACCGCCCCGTGTGGCTGTAGCTGTCGTCCGTGCCCGTGGCCGATGCGCTCACACTGGCGCCTGCCGTGCTGCCAGCGACACTGGCACCGGCGACACTGCCTCCCGCCACACTGCTGGCGCCCGTCGCACTGGCCCCGCTGGCACTGCCGGCTGCCGTGCTCGGTGCCGCGGGTGGTGCACCACCGAACAGCGACGACTGGAAATCGCCAAACCATGCCCACCACTCGGCCTGGTCCTCCTCGTCCGAGCCCGTGAGCTCCATCATGTCCATGTTGTCGTTGGTCATCATCGGCTCTTCGTCAACCGTAAACGGCCGGCTTCGGTCCGGAAGGTCGCCGTGCATGTTGAGGCCGTCGACGTCTAGGTCCATCTCGACGGTCGGGTATAGGTTGGGCCCGGCCGACTCGGACCCGCTGTCTGGCTCCGTGTTCATGGCCTCGGGCACGTTTCCAATCAGGTTGCTGATGGACAGCACAGTGTTAGCTGTCGGGGGAGAGCGGTTGACAGCAGATGTGCCCGACGGGGCGGTTGGTGCGCCGTGACCGTGACCGTGACCATGACCATGACCATGACCTTCACCCTGGCCTTGGCCTTGGCCTTGGCCCTGGCTTTGGCTTTGGCTTTGGCTTCGCAGGCTCGCCGCCGCCGCCCTCTCCTTCTCCCGCTCCTCCTTTCTTTTCTTCTTCCGCCCAGCCAGATCCAGCACCTTGAACGACCGCAAGCGCACTGCGAACGCGTCAAAGATAATATTGCGCACCGTGTACCCAAGAGGATGCGGCACCGTCCGCACTTTCTGGAAGCGGCTAGCCACGGCGTCAATGACGTCGGCAAATGCGGGCAGCGTTATACCCTCAGGCACTCCGACCGGTTTGGTGTTGCCACGAAAGTAGGCCGTCAGTTTGGCAAGCGTGAGATCCGCGTGCACCAGCTGCGTAATCACGGTGACGGGGAACTGGTGGTACAGGCTGACGGGCAACGTCAAGTACACATCAAAAAACTCCTTGGCAGCAATGTAGCACTGGATGGGCATGTCGCCCTCGATGGGCGCGGAGCCGTCGTCCGATTCGCGGCTGGGTGTGCTGTGTGCTTTAAAGGGTGTGGTATTGGCCGACAAGCTCAACTCGTAGATGTAGATCTTGGTTGTACAGTACCCGAGGTGGATTTTGACTGGCAGCCGTGTTAGTTGCGGGACAAAAAGATGAAACAGCGATATTGACAAGTTGATACTTACAGTCCTTCTGCATGTCGTAGGATAAGCTGTTCCAGATTTTGTTCAGCTCGCCGACAAAATTCTCAATATGCGTGCGCACAGGGACCAGGAAGCGGCCGCCGCAGAGATCAGCGTCCCGCTGCACCTGGAGGACTCGGCTGATAAGACAGTAGAAGCGGACAGTGATGGCGAGTTGGAAGTCGGCGGTCACCACAGCTGTGATAGCATCAGACGTGTGGGACTTTTCGTAAAAGGCCGTCTCAAAAAACCGGCAGGTGTCTTCCAGCTGCAGCGTGTAGTGCAGCGGCGTAAACATAAGGATCCCGTCGGACATGGCATGCGACAAGATAAAGCCACCTGCCAAGGCACGGCGCTCTTCCAGGGTGTGTCCCTCGTCCGGGGCGACAATGCTAGGGCCATGCATCGTCTTGGAGACGTAGCGGTCGAGCGGCGAGCGCGCATTCGTTTTGGAGAACATGAGCTTGTTGAGACCGAGGTCGGCAATCAGGGCCATGGTGATGTGGATCAAGTTGGTGAACTGCGGCAAGACAAAGTTCTGTGAGATGAACCAGTTCACAAAGATGAGGAGGCCCTGCAGCATATGCAGTGACTTGCGGTTGTTCAGAAAGACTTTGTCGGTAATGTAGTAGATGATGGCACGGGCCAAGCAGTTTTGGCGCTCAAAATCGTGGAAGCACGTCACAAAGACAATGCTCAACCAGACTAGTGGTTTCTCGGATCGCAGATCGGCTACCTTGGTGTCGGGTGGCGTTGGCTCCATGTATGGATTGAACTTGCTAAAGGCGTCCCGGTAGAAACGTAGGAGCTCCTCGGCTTCGCGCTCGTCCATATTGAATACGGAGTCGATGAGGACCTGGTGCGCGTTCGGTGCGGGGACAGCTGGTGCAGCCGGTTCTTGCGGGCGTCCACCGGGGCCCACCGAGGACGTTGGACTCCCTACAAACGACGTAGCGCCTGTGCTACCGCCAAGGCTCCCGGGTGGCATAACCGTGGCCGATGAGCTGCTGCCGGCATAGGAGTTCTTATTGTTCGGATCGACGGACGGTGGCGATGCGACAGGTGGCGGGGGAGGTAGGGAGAAGGAGGGTGGTGGTGGCGGCGGTGGCACCAAGGGTAGTGCGGCTATTGGTATTGATGTTGTGGATTCGGCCTTAATGCCGGTCGGGGGTTTGGTGCCATTGACGTATTGTTGTTGTTGCTGCTGTTGCTGCATATGTTGCTGCTGTTGCTGGTGTTGGTGGTGTTGTTGGTGGTGGTGTTGTTGGTGGTGGTGTTGTTGGTGGTGGTGTTGGTGCATGAGGAGTGACGACGGCGGGCCGGGTATGACGGAGGCTGAATGCATCGTCGATTGCGGTATGCCTGATGGCATGCGTTTCAGCGGCGGCTGGCTGTTACCACCGCTCCCTCTGTAGCTTGCGCTGCTGCTTGCACCACTTGGCGTGGGCAGTTTGGAGAGCGAGGGAATCCGGCTCGCAGGGAACGACGAAGTCTGACCTGCACCCGAATGGCCTGCCGGGGTGGCTGCCGGCCTTGACGGCGAACCGGTCGCGCTGTGGGCACCAAAGTTGCTATGGGTGGTTCGTGACGGCGTCGCCTTTTGTTGGGGTGAGGCGGTCTGCGGCATCACGGAGAAGGTGGAACGACTGGTTCCAGGTCTGGGGCGGTTAGTACTTGCTGTGGAAAACAAGACTCGCACTCCAGGGAGAGGATATCTTGGGGGTACTTACTTTATGGCTCCAACACGCCGCTTCTTCCGCGGGCGCGTGGGTAGGAGGCAATCTCGGTTGAGGCGCTCACATCGCTGGCACCGGGGAACGGCCGGCGTGCCTTCCAGGCCACCGGTGGCCGAGGAACTGGCACGGGAGGAGCCAGCAAGGTCGTTGCTGGTGCTGTTGATAAAGTCGAGGCCGTCGACAAAGCCGTCGACTCCATCTGTCTCATCAGAAAAGACACATTTGGCTTTCGCGGCAGAGCAGCTGAGGCATGCGCGATGGCCGCCAGGCGGCACGAACTTGACGGTGTCCATTGTATGTGTGCGTAGTGGTGCTGTAACGGAGATTGTGAACGAGGTAA